CTTGCACTTTAATTATTTTCTATAGATATTTTCTATGTTTGTATATAACATTTCAGACACTCGTGTGACTTTTTAATGAAATACACTGACAGAAGCTTGGTGACCTTGCACTTTAATTGCTTTGCAAGTTCTATGATCCAAGTAATTTTAAGTATTAAATCGACGTTGTTACCACGGCAGGGCGTCGCTCTGGAAAATCGAAAATTTGCGAGACGTTATGTTCGTCCACGCGAAATATATTTACGGTGGCAACGGTCAGATTACGCCGCTATCCGAGTTCGTAAAGCTGACGTTTACACGCGCGTTGTTAAACTGCGAGATAGTCGCGAACGGGTTGCCAACGCTTGTTAACACTTCGTTTAACATGCATCTCGAACAAACCTCGTGACACTCGACGACGGAGTTTCTATGATCACATGCGACAATCGCGTTGGAAGAATTATTATTGAAAGTTATTGGTTGTAATTTATCCCCTTCTCTGTGTGTTTCCCGTACCTTGTAGATTGTTTGAACACAAAGCAAGTGCATCATTTATATACGAACCAACGTCGAATCATTTCTCGAGCATTTTTCGGTCCGCGTTGAAATAGAATCTATTTTGAATTTTCTGGTAACATTTTGACAAGGGTGTAGAATGTTTTCTTTAATTTTTTTAAACAAAAATCTAACCACAGATTTTTAAGATACTATCTGTAGTCGATTTTTTTTTTTTTTTTTTTTTTTTTTGAAATTGGAATAGATCAAAAATGATTTCTCGTTAACAATAAATTCTTATCGTATAAATATTCCACTGTCGAATAGGAAAAGTAGACAAAATCTTGGCAAGGGCGTAAAATATTTTTATTAAAAAAGCTTCTTATTAATGTGAACGTTCAAATAGAAAAAAAAAGAAAATCGAAAAATCTCGACTTGATGGCCAAGGTGTAAATTTTTATCCAATACATCAAGACAGATGCTCGTAACGAAGTTGTTGAATAATACACCATCTTGTAACCACAATATTCCACGAATTTGCGATGGATTTAGAATTTATATGGAATCATGAATACGGCGGATGGATTTATGTGACGTTCGCTGCGATTTCCACGCGTTATCTTAAATTATCCTTGGTTTATCGCCCGCGCGAACGAATCTACGATAATCTCGATATAATTGCGATCGTACGTGCGAAGATTCGGAGACCTGCGTCATCGATTCGTTTCGAATCCATTTTTCTTCGTTCTGTTTATTATATGCGCCGGCTTATGTACGATAGACACAGGTAAGGAGATCGTAAAAGCCGCGGCGTTCGCGTGATCGTTACGAATTATTGCTCTTCGTTAACGTCCCTCGCTGGTGGAAGCTTTGGACAAACCTCTCGTAACGTTTCAACGGTGCCAATCCGAATAAGAATCGAACGCGATATGTTTTCATCCGGCGCTCGAATATAATCGAAATATAATCGCCACGTTTGTCGCGTGGAACAAGTAACTCGGCTTGTAAAAAAAGTCGAGAGATCGAAAGACTTCCAGCGAGAATCTGAAAGAGCAAGGACTGAGAAGAGGAAATAAAAGATGCACGTTACTTTGGAGAAGAACTGAGTGGAGTATGAAAATATTGCGACAATAAAAGTGTATTGAGACAAGCATAAAATTAAATTAAATTATTTTTTATAATTATATAATATAATATAATATAATAATTACTGATTATTAAATTAGCTTTTATAGTTATGTAATCATATAATATAATAATTATTTAGTTATTTAATTATTAAATTGTCTTATAAAAGTATTATAAGACAACAATAGTTGAAACAGTCAACAACGATCGTAAAGTGATGAAGCATAAACTAAAATTCAGTTTCAGGGTCTGCCAATATCAAAATACGAAACATCGTACGAACAAAAAAACTTTAAAATACTTTGCAAAAACTCGCAGCATGGTGATATATATATATGCGTTTCGGTTTACTTTGTATTTTCTGCGTAATTTTAGGAACTCCTATCAATCGACTGCCGATCATGGCGAAATCGGTGTTGGATCTGTACGAGCTGTACAATTTGGTGATCGCCCGTGGCGGACTAGTGGACGTGATCAACAAGAAACTCTGGCAGGAAATCATCAAAGGCCTCCACCTGCCGTCAAGCATCACTTCCGCCGCGTTCACTCTGCGCACTCAGTAAGTAGAAGATCGTGAAGTTTCTCGTACGGGACCCTGTCCCGCCGCCTCGTGTCTATTCGCCGGTGATTCGCGATACAACCAACCCCCGTGTGCTTGACAAAAGCTCGCCTGAGCATGAAATCTGCGCCGACGACTAGAAAACCGGACCGTTCACGCGCTCGACGTCTTCCTTTCCCATTCGTCATCGTCTTCCACGTCTTTCGCGCGAGTTCTTGACACACGTTTTCACACGCGCGCGAACATTTCGACATTTCGTACGATGTAAAATCATCTTTGAAAACGAAGGAAACTCGCGACTGTGTAAAGTGAGGGAAGATGAACATTGTATGATCTTTTCTTTCTTCTTTTTTTTTGTTCTTACGAAGTTATATCGACAACTTTTCATTGTCATTGGAGTTTGGATGGCACTTGTTACTTTTAACACATTCCGCACTCGGCCCACAAAATTTTGGAGCAGCAGGGAAATGCTTTGTACAATGCACAATACATGCACTTTTTTTAATTCACATTGATAAAATATTCTTAAATGTTGCTATATATATTTTTCACAGTAATGTTTAAGAATCTATTTTTTGTGTATTTTAGATTTTAACTATTATTTGTTGTTTATATTTGTATAAACACATTAAGGACGATACGCTCCGACAAACATATAGTCAGTTTTCTCGTATTTTGTGAATTATTTAATATACGATTGAAAGGGTTCGTGAGAATGTATATAGCGTTTAACAAGTGTATTGCTTTATTAATAATCATAAATTACCAATTAATTTTCATTTCAGAGGTATTTTATTAAATAAAATGAAAATACCTCTAGTAACGTTTCTTGGTGTGGTACGTTGGGGAAACAGTTTCTCTACATCTTGAAAAATTATATAACATTGTATATATAATTATACATTGTATATTATTAATTATACATAACGTTGCCCTACAACGCAAAAAAGTTGAAACACGAAGAAACGAAAATTTTTCGTCCCCCGAAAGACGCGAATTCTCTCGTCCGCAATGTGTTAAAATTCAAGCTGATTAGGAAACGACGATTATTTCGAATCACGATGAATGAAAGGACGCTACCGCGAATTGATTCGAACGTAAAGTGAAAAATGAAGAGAGGGAGGAAGAAAAGAAGAGGGAATAGCCGATGGGACATCAAAGGGTGTCCTCCACCGTCTTCCGGGCGGCCGTTGTTTAGGAAATACCATCATCATTACCGCTGGGCAAACTGCGAGCACCCATGGAGGATTGTTTGTGTGCTTAAGATGGCGGCTTGTATCAGGAACAGCGTGTTCTCTGCGAAACAAAAATATACGAACCGACGCCGCGGCACAAAAGAAGCTCGGCGAGGGCGCAATATTAAACGCTCGTGACCGTGCTGGGAACACTCAGAACCGTGAAGAAGAGAGCCGAGGACTCGTGCCGTGTTAACTTCCATTCGTCACCTGCCAGAGAGGAAGTCGAAAACGAGGGACGATCGAGAACGAACGTGTCAAAATAAAATCTCCATTTAGGTACCGAACGAGTAAACAGCTCGTGATTACTTCGCGCGATCGTTGAACTAGCAGGCGAGAATTTTTACAGGCTTGTGTCGAGATCATCGACTGCACACAATTTTGTGTGTCCGACAATAACATCAACTATTCTATTTTCAACGCGTTCACTCGTTCGTTCCCTTCCGCGTTCGCCTATATAGTGTCTACACTGTTCGTAACTTGTGAAAATTGTGTTTAAAAGTGTAGAAACAGATATATAGGTTTTCTGATACTAATCTCGTCGTCGTGTGATTAATAAGTGATTGTGTGTATGTATGTATATTAATAAGGTCGAACGCTCCTCGTGAGCTTCTTTTGTTATGTGAGTTCATTATAGAACATGGTGTAATAGACAGTTATCGTCCAAGCTATACGCTTTATTTAACCACAATTCTGTGTCTTCTCCATCCGTGAGGAATAGTGAATCTGTTTATCGCAGAGTATCATCAGCAAGGAATAATGATGAAAATTTGTATTGACGAGTGGAAATAGAAGTGATTTCTATTATTGGGTATTATTGGCTGTACTCGAAGTGTATTTGAATAACAAACACAGTGTTCGAAAGCACGATCTTACTCGTGAAGCTTCTAATTGCTCTACGTTGAAAACGTATGAGAAAATTGAGAATGGCTGACAGAATAGTCATGGGTCATTGTTAGAATTTGTTCTTCTATCTGAAACTCTTCGATCTCTTAAAATTCTTAAAAAAAAGTGCCTCAAAACTGTATTATTTTCCCGAGGAATTATTCAAGATTGGAGAAGAATTGCAAAGGAAGGAGCACAGTGGCATTTCCAACGAAAGAAGATTTACGAATTTTTACACGAAATTAAAAATGCTGATTAATGGACTTTTTACTTTCGTGAAACAATTATGTAGTATTCGTGCTAACGTGAAAGGTGAAAACAGTGTGCACGTTTGTCTTCCAAGCGACAAAATTCTCCTACAGAATGTTTAAATGCTTTCACAGCTGAAGTGTTTATTCTACTCGATTTTGAATTTACCGCGAACAACGCGATAAAGGCTGTTATTTTTTTTTTTTTTTTTTTTCAATCTGTGTATCGAAAAATACGGAAGACAAATATGGAATCGATAAAATGTTTAGTTCTTGAAAAGTTTCTAAAACCGAACGATAGTTCCAGTTCCATTTTATTGAAGTGAAGCCTCCACTTCCGGTTACGAAATAATGATGATCTAATTTTTCGTCGTTCACTATTCCCACCGAAAATGTTACATTACATAATCACACATTTCGACGACCAAGAGTGCACAAGATAGAGTAAAATTGTGACATCGACGATGGCAATACTCCGGCATAGTCTTTCTCCTAAATAGCGGACAGCGGCTAAGATTTTGGGATCAACTTGCAAACGAAGAAAGGGAACACACCCAAAGGATACGAAATTGTTAACAATAGAATGCAGTAAATTTTTTACACAATGCTCAACGTGCTTTCCTTGCATTGGCTTACGTTTTTACATTTTATTTCTCGAAAATAATAATTGTATTTTATACTTTGTTACTGTATTATATTTTATATTTTACTGCATTTTATATTTTATATTTTACTGTATTTTATATTTTATACTTTACTGTATTTTATATTTTATATTTTATATTTTATTTTTTACTGTATTTTATATTTTATATTTTATATTTTACATTTTCTATTTTATACTTTGTCACTGTATACTCTGTACAAGGCTGTATTGCATTTATTTATGCATCTTGTATTCAACGTATATACAAACACATAAACGTAGCATTCCGCAGCTCGTTACGGGAAAAAGAGAAATGAAAAAAAAAAAAAAACAAACGTGATTAGCCACGAATAACAGGAATATTACTATTGACGATCGTATCGCCGATTGTCCGACAAGTTTGAAACCGCGAGAGAGATGCTGTCAATTCCAACGATGAAGCCCAAACGTTCTCGTGCGTCTTTGCGAGCGCGCCAAGTTCCGGGGCGAGATAGTTAATATAAATTTGACGGTCGATTTATCAGGGAGCGGTTATTCTGGTCCCGCGATTCGCGACGCGTTCCTCGGCGAGGCAAGATGAAATTAATTAAACGTTCGCGGATTCGTCGCGACAAAGGGAGCGTTCTGCCGCGTTTTCGACGCGAGAACCGAGATTTCTGTGGTTCTAATCGAGGGGGATAAACACGCGTTGAAATTTAGAAGAGCTGTTTCCTTTCGCGAACAGCACTTAATCCAGCGTTGGCTTAATTATTTTCTCGATGCTCTACTAAATTATTGTGACAACAAGAACGTGAATCAACCATGTAAGAAGGCGATTGAATAACTTTCTTTTTAATATGGGATTTACCAGTGTCTGTTTGCTCTTGACCGAACTATTTATGGGGTTAACTCTGTTGCAGCGAGGATCATCGAATTCTTTAAATTCTCATCGGTGCTTCTTAATTAATTTCGGGATGGGAAGAGAAAGCTTGTTCTATAGATACTTCTAAATAGATAATATTATTTTTGTGCACAAAATCACTCAATGTTGAACAGGAGGTTTTTAAAAAGCCAAGGGAAATTGATCGTGACGATATGTCGACTAAATTCTGTAAATAGTCAATTTCGATATTTCTGTTTCACGCGTTATTCTTTTCGTTTATTCGTCAAAACTTGCGTTCCTCGGCGAGAGAAAAGCTAGAGGCGTCGACACGATACGCGTGCTCCTCCTGTCTTTCGAGCTTCAACCGAGAAATTACATTGGCGTTTCACTAAATAAAATCGGCAAGAACCGCGCTAAATGCCCGAGAGTCTTTATTTATCTTTCTCGTAAAGAAAGACTTCTCGCTGCCTGACTTTTTCATCTCGCAGCAAGTTGGAAAATTGGCCAGCGAGATGACTGCTGTGCAATTGGCTCGTAGCGTGATGGAAGCGCGATCTTGAAAATAGGACGTGGCCGAGATCGATGGACTACAAATTCGTTTGCACAGATATACCGATGGGCTGAATTGAACGAAGAACACGGACGGGAAGACTTACGAGGCAGATATACGATCCTGCGTGCGTGTATCGTGGTTCGTCGCTTCAGTTCTATCGCGAATTCAGCAGAAGCACAACGGGACCCGCTGTTGCGCAACTCGACTGAACAGTGAAGCGCGACAACTTGCGAGCAACTATCGCAGAGAATCTAGCTAACTATATCAAACAGATCCGAAAGATCCGCGCGAAACAGAGCGCGACGCATTAATGCTCGGCCGGCTAACGTGAATTATGTACGCGGCGCATCGCACGTGAAAATAACCCCGCCGATGCTCGATGCGTAACGCGCGACGAAACGTCGGGACGCCGCGGCGCATCCATCATTCCGGCAACCGGTTATCTCGCAGCCGGAGCAACAGGGACAGACGGAGGAAACGAAATTGCAAAGGGAAGAGAGAGCGGAGTGTCGGGGACGAGCGTGTTATATCGCGACATAGTCGGAGCCACGAGTCTTCAATCGTGTAATTATTTATATCGCGAGAGAGAGGGAGAGAGAGAGAGAGGGAGGGAGAGGCGCACTATCGCCTTTTATCGTACACTGTAACTGAGCGAACGGTGAATCTTCTCCTCAGGTAGAATAGAGATACAGGGATGGATAAACATGACACACGCGAATGCGTAAAAGACGGAAACTTCAACGAAGAATCATGGAGAAGCTTCGGTGAAATGCCGAAACACCTTCGCAGGTTTTTCACTGCTCGCCACCGGCGATATTTGTGCAATCGGTGATCGCAATTAATAATTGTGTTATATTATAGTGTTATAATAGCTATTGTGTTATATGTTATAGTGTTGTAGTGTTATAATGGCTATTGTGTTATATATTACAGTGTCATAGTGTTACAATAATTATTATAGTGTATATTATAATAGTTTTATTTTATTATATATTATATTATTTTTATAGTTTTATAGTTTTATATTATTATGTATCATTACAGTGCCATAATTGTGTTATTAATAATTATATGTAATTAATAATTGTGTTGTATATTATAGTGTTACAGTGTTATTATAACAGTTATTATGGTGTATATTTTAATAGTTTTATTATTACAGTGCAATAATTATATGTAATTAATAATTGTGTTGTATATTATAGTGTTACAGTGTTATTATAACAGTTATTACGGTGTATATTTTAATAGTTTTATTATTACAGTGCAATAATTATATGTAATTAATAATTGTGTTGTATATTATAGTGTTACAGTGTTATTATAACAGTTATTACGGTGTATATTCTAATAGTTTTATTATTAGAGTGCAAGAATTATATGTAATTAATAATTGTGTTACGTATTATAATGTTGCAACAGTTATAACAGTTTAGTCGTTATAACAGTTTTTATCATTATAGTGCCGTTATTATTATAGTGTTATTATTATAGCGTAATAGACAATAATGTATACATATAAAAGTTAGCTTGCCCAAACTTGCTAACACCTCCATAAATCTCGGATTAAGTTGATTTTGGATACGAAACGGGTTCTTTTTGCCAAACAGTAACAATTGCCAAACGTTTGGTCACGAGTAACAAGTGCAGTATCTTGCAAGCAACGGAATAGTTTCCAGTACGTATTTTAAATGCGAACGTCGAACTCGAAGGCCTAAGATCATTTTCGACAGTCACGTGACGGACAGTGTGATAAGATTCTACCACTTCACTCTCGTCTAAAAGCACTACGGAATCACACGGAATTTAACGTAGGTATGCAGGTGTATGCTAAATACAGTGCAGTGCCAATACTTCTCGAGAATGCCACCGAGTATATATAGATCTCCCCGTCCCGCACTTTGCACGGTTCGAGCAAATTGTAACCATAGTCTATAAGTGAAAATGCAACGCGAGTCGCAACAATATGGCCCATTATCTCGGTAGCCAACGAGATAGCATCGAAGCTCGTGCCAACGAAGTTTTGCCGGCAAGCTCGTTTTTCTCGGTGAAAAATCAGGCAGTATATCTTCTCCGATTGTTCTCGTTCTCGTCGCCGCGATTGCCTCGCGGCATTTCGACAATTTTCGCTCGAGTGGTGCAACGTGAGTTTCGATTGTCACTCAGGGAGAAAAAGATTACTGTCTTGAACCAGTAATGCACAATCGAGGCCGAGAAGAAATTATTGGGGATGGTGCAGTTTCTTCTTTCGTTCGTTGCGTTCCTCACGCACGAGATGCGCGAAGATTTTTTGGTTTGTCGAGGGGAGAAGAAGAGGAAGAGGAAGAAGAAGAAGAAGAAGAAAAAGAAGAAGAAAAAAAAGTCGAGAAGGCGGAGGAGGAGGAAATGACCGGGCCGAAGGGCTAGTTTTCGGCCGCAGTCTGGCAGACAATCGTAAAAGCCGAACGAACCCTGCGCGAATTATAGGCCGCGGTTCTCTTGCGAGAATATGTCTATCCAACGAGCGACGAGTGTGTGCGAGTGCCTCCTCGCCACGAGGTTCTTTCTTTCTTTCTTTTTTTTTTTTTTTTTTTTTTTTTTCGTCTGGTCAAAATAAACGATAAACATTCACGAATTACTCAAAGCGCAGGAATATTCTGTGAATCATCTGGTCTAGTTTGTAACATTGTAATTCTCGTCGAGTTGCGGTTTTCATCAAGTAATCAACAGGAAGATGAAACGTGACAATTTTCACCGTACATATATAATTTCACCGCGTGAAGTGAAAAATTTCCACATCTCGTCGATCGTTGAGTAAAGCTGCGAAGTCTCATTCACTGGTAAATTTCAATCATCGAGTAACAAATGGATCAGAAGCCAAAGTCAAGCCTGGAAGATCTAAAAAATTGAACACTACATACATAGTTCCACCACGTGAAGTGAAAAATTTCTTGTCGATCGTAGGAGTAAAGCTGCGAAGTCTCATTCAATAGTAAATTTCAACCATCACTCGGTTAGACAAGACAAGTTTTCACAGTTTATCGCTGTGAAATTAAACGCATCTTTGAATATCTATAATTCTCGTCCCCCTCCCACTGTCGAAAGCGTTGTTTCGACTTTTATCTTTCATCTCCATTTCATTAACTTTAACAACGACGGAGAGAAATGGACGCTTTGAGAGCAATTCCTACCTTGCTCAATTCCTCGCGAAACAATTAACGCACTTGTTCACGAGTCGTTGACCGAGTTGCTTTCAGCTCGATCGTGCTTGCCTTTTGTCATCTTGCTTTCTCGGCGTGTTAAGAAACCGTAAAAATCCGTGCAAGTGGACGGACCATCGCCGAAGTTGTTCATCTGTCGCGCAATTATACAAGGCGTCATCGTTCAGGCGCAATTAGAGTGTCCTGGTCGAACATTAAAGTCGACCAAGCGGCGCAGATAGACACGAGGGACACGACAAACGCGAAATTAAATTAAGCGGACGCTCGTCGCCCGGATCTGCCTTGCCAATTTCGCGTCCACCGAGCCACGGCGGACAGCGTGCGTTCGGCTCTCTATCCAACGACGGAACTTCGATTAACACAACTCGGCCTGCTTGGCCGGCCGGCAACGTTAATGCCGTGCCTTATCTCCGTCCTGTCGATACGAGCTGTACACACGTTTGATATTTTACACGCGGAAATCAACGAGACGGCGAGAGAGACACGAGAATTTTCGAATTTGACACGAATAACTCTCCGTGTGTGTCACTTGAAACAATATTGTCTTAGAAAGCGAGCAATAACGGTGTTCGCGAGCTCGGTGAGAATCAACAACGCCGCGCCGCCCATCCGCTTTCTAGCACCTCTGCGCGGTGTTTTTTCTTCTTTATTCTCTTTTTCTACTTGCTTTTCTTTTCTCCTTTCCCAGGTACATGAAATACCTGTACCCGTACGAGTGTGAGAATAGGCGGCTGTCGACGCCGGCGGAGTTGCAGGCGGCGATCGATGGGAATCGTCGCGAGGGACGCCGCAGTAGCTACGGTACATACGCGTCGACCAGTAGTGCTGCACCGGAAAGAGGTGCTCACCAGCCCAACTCGCTCGCGTTACACGGTCAAATGGCGCCGTTATCGCTGGTAACGGCGGTAGCGACCAGTAGCCAGCAGCATCACGTGCCGCAACCGTTGGTGAACGGAAGCGGCGTGCATACACCATCGCATCATCCGCAACATCTTCAGGGATTACCTGGACCGCCGACCAACGCAGGTAAAACGCTGGCTTGTACATGTATCAGGCTGGCACGATGGCTATACGGTAAATATTTCCGACATCTCAAATTACGGCCTCTTTAATCTCTTGCTGTTAGCTTTTTAATCTCTTGCGCTGGAATGACGTGCCGCGCGCGTCGACAATCTCTTGCCCCGATATTTCGCAACGTTTTCTCGATTTTTAAGTATACTTGAATGGTAACCTGGGGAGAACGAACGATAGGTTTATTACTTGTTGATCATTTCCATCAACAAGTGGCATCATACCGGCGAGTTCAGAAGAGACAGATAGCGACGAATTATTGTGTGTACGATTCTGGCCACTCGTTATGGTCCGCAATCAGTTTGCCAGCGCAAGGGATTAAACGTGTGTGTTGTACATTGTAGAACCACGATTATAACTCATCAAACGCACAGTATGTACAGCTGCCATCTGTAGAATTGAATTAAATTAGAAAGTGAGTCAAGGACAATTTTTAAGCACTAGATTTTTTTTCTTGAAAAATCTAGCTACGTTCGACTCGATCAATATTACTTGAAAGACTCGTCGAACGTTTATAATTTCCTTGTTAAACTTAAAAAATCAAATATTTGGAAAGAATGAGGAGAAATTGGGAATATAATTTATTCTTTCAGAATGATATTTCTTAAAACAGAATACGTCACATAAATGGCGCCTCGCACGTTGAGCCACCAGTGTCTAGGTTATTTTCATGTGTTATTTTTCAAACACGGCAAACATCTTGGGGGTTTTCAAGTTTTTGATGATTGGCACTTGGCAATGAAACGTGTAAGCCTAAGATTGCAGACCAACTGTACATATTGAATTTATATCTTCAATTGGCTACGATTCAATAGGCCTCAGCAGGAAGTATACATTATTGTTAATTTTCCATTGTTCTTTTTATGTAACGAAAAAATTAATATAACCAAAAGATGATTTTTCCAGTACATAGAACACAGAAACAATATGCAGGTTGACTTTCACGCGACACAATAGGTCACAACACAAGCAACGGCATACACAAGCGAGCAAGTGAATATTTAGAATGGCGTAAAAAGAACTAGCCAAGTCTCAAAACACCACTGGTCCAAACATCACAAATAATATGTCTCAAAACACCACAGGTCCAAACATCACAAATAATATGTCTCTGTTCCACGAAAGATTTAACTTTAAGTAAGAAATTCTGATTACTTTCCTCGCACGAGGAGTATACTCGTGTCATTCACGGATAACGGGTAACAAGTTTGTTCGAAATAATCATAACAAGCATGGAATAAACGCGATCAAAGATCGTTGTAAGAACCAAAATTCTGTCGTCTTTGAAAGGAATTCGACCGAGGCCAGGATGGGAATGAGTACCGGAAACGAGAGGGAATCGAAACGGGAGATGTAGAGTGTCCGGATGAAAAGTTAGCGGCGCGCGAGGAGACAGATGCGTTTCGGAGAAAAAAGATAGATCGGGTAGAGGAGAAGCGGGTTTATTTTAAATCGGTAGTTAGAGTTCCAGGCCTCCCCGGAGATGATCATGCGAGAGCGAAGGAGGCGTAATTGATTGTACGATCCTCCGGGAGACAGGCGTTAACGGATGACTCTCACTAACGAGCATTCCTACTTCCCTACCCCTTTCTTCCTCTTTCTCGCCCCCTGCCGTAACAGTGGCTTCGCCCTCTTTCGCCTTGTTTCACCACCCTCTCACCCGACTTCCGACCAATTTCGCTCCTATGCACCCTTCTTCCTCCTCCTCCTCCTCCTTCTCCTCCTCCTCCTCCTCCTCCTCCTCCTCATGTTCGCGCCGTCCGCCCTTGAATTTGCGTTTCGCCCGTCCAATCTGCGTGTTTCCACCGTGCTCGAAATTCTTTCACCAGCGAGGATAAATTAAATTTGTTCACAGTAATCCAATGAGCATTCGCGAAACGTGGTGACTCCATCTGATTTGTATTTTTTGTGGCTTTCCTCAAACTTTCCACCTGCAAAGCGGAAATCGTGTGCAATCGTTGAACGTGTGCTCGTCGAGAATGATTAGAGAGATAGCTTCGGTAGTTCGAACCGACATTGGATGAGCCAGTTTGTCGAGATTGCTCGATATTTGCTCCTGACGCACTCTGTCAGAGCGGATCTTCTCAATTTCCTCGAATCGCTTTCCCTCCATTTCTCTCCGCCACGCCAATCACCATACATACCGTCGCGTCGCCTTAATTTAGTCTCTCGCCAGACAGCTATTCAGCCGCGACAGTCTCGCTTTTAAACGTGCAAACGATTGACACCAGCCTCCCTTTTGATCGAGCATCGCCCGTCAATTTCTGACTTCGTCGATCTATCTGTCCGCAGGACCTATTCCTGGAATGGCGCCATCCGAGTTCGAGGCACGCATGGTCGAGTATGTGAAGCTGTTGAACAAGGAGCTGAGGTGCGTCACTGGTACACCGCCGCCGATGATCCATCGACAGGACAGCACGTCGCCTCCTCTTTCGTCATCGCCGAGGGATGTAGCAGGATTCAGTACTTTCGACGTAACGCGATTGTGGAACATGTGTAATAACAATACTATGTATCCAGGGCATCAGCCGCCACCCTCGCCGATACCAGCGATATCCACCCCTGAACCACAAAGAGAAGCACTCGATCTTGGACTCAGGTAATGATTTCAGCTCGCACATATGGTTCGAATTAATGCAGGCACATGTATCACGAATTAATGCAATGAACGATTTTATGCGACTTTTGTCAGATCGTCGCCCGCAGACTCACCGCTAAGATTAACCTCACCTTCGCCGAGCAACGCGCCAGTGAAGAGAGATCAGGATACCCAGGGTGGGTCCACATCTGCAAAAAGACCAGTTGCCGATGATGACAGTTCCAACGAGAGGACCATCATGGCTGGCACGCACATAAGAATTTCAAATCGAGGTAAGAAACGAGCGCGAAGGTCTCACTTTGTATTTTTTTTTTTTTTTCCATACAGCTACATACACTTTTTGTAGCCCCGTACAAAATCGTATACACGAGCGTCACTGGTTTGTCAACTATGTCATTTGCAAATTGGATCGCGCGATTGCTGGAGTAATTAAAAATTCTCCCGTAATGGACAAAAACCAGTGGAAATGGAATTAAAAGAGCATCTTGTCTTTTGATAACTTAACCATTTGCGGTCGAAAGAACTCTGTTGCATGCATGCTTCTAGTGTTACATTTGTTTGTACGACGATTGCTTTTGCTTAGCGATGCTGAACTTGAAATGCCAAGTCAGTTTTCATTTCTTTTTGGATATAGCAACGCATGACGTACTATTATAAAAAGTCTCTCTGTATTTATTTCAGTTTATTTTATATTTTTTTTAATTTACTGCAATTGTTCGATCCTGCCTAATAAAGAAGCCGTATTGCAATACGAAAGTAAATTCACGAAGCTGTACGGATGTAGTTTTTTCTTTTTTTTAATTTTTACTTCATTGCATAGTAATAAATAATATTCGTGTGTTGTCTATCTTCAAATAACAATTAATAACCTTACGCCTAAGTAAGGGTCATCCGCGAGCGAGAATGATGACGTTTATTGGGAAACTTGTGCATGCAGCTGTTACGTCCGCAAAGGGTTAAAATAAAAATCTTATTTTCTTTTGTATTTTGTCTTATGAGGTGGGTAAAAACCATATGTACTGTACGATATTGTCTCTGATCTAAATTAACAACGATAACGATTTTGCGACATTGACTTCGACGCTACATGCACTATTTTTAAATAACTCATTTTTCCATTAATTTCAGTCCTGTCTAATCATTGCTCGTTTATAATTGCGCGTATGTCTAGCGTATATCTTTAAACAGAAATGAAATATTAGATATTTAACAAACTTCGAAAAACGTCCAAAGTGTAATCGCAAAGTGTATACTGTACAATAGCTCTAAAAATGACAGAATATAAAATTGCAACAGTCGGAAACACAATACACAAATGATAGGTTTTTAGAACGTGGTTTAGACTAAACTAACGAATACTTTAATGTGAAAAGGAAACGATTGACAAACGTTCGTCACGGAATTTTTGTTTTTATCAGTTCCAGACGACAAGTATATGGTTTTGCCCAGGTATATATATACGGTTCTGTACAAATTTCCCATGCAATATATTAATGTACGTATAACGGTGAAATGTTTGATAACAGGAGACGGAAGAAACGGTGATAATTCCTTAGTAGTCAGTATGGAGCTGAACGGAATAATGTATCAAGGTGTCCTGTTTGCGCAACATGAGACTAAAACCGCGACATGCAGCAACAGCAGCAATTCGAAACCATCACGAAGCGTAATTTCGTGAATGCGAAATGATCAATGGAGCAGCCTACAATATCTATCGACACACAGGATTCATTTATAGAAATAAGTGATAAATATAATTACCATAAAGAACGAATGAAGCTGTTTGCCATAATGTTAGTCATCGATCGATCGAAGTGTCTTGATAATAGTAAAAGTCGGAAAAAGTTCGAATTTCAATGTAGTTTGACGCGTTTGATCAAGATCTCTTATGCGAACATTTGTTACGTCGTATGTATCCTTTTATTAAGTTTATTTCTTCGAGTCAAAACATTTTTTTGGAAAAAAACTCTGAAACCTATTGTGATATTAGATGCGCGTATCTAAAAGATCGTCAGATTTGTTTTATTTCTTGTTAACGTTATATGAAATTTTTCTGGTCACTTTTCTTTTATATTTTTTTGGTTAATTGGCGAGCTTAGAATAATGTTTAGTTTTTTTTTTAACAACGACAACTGCTCATTTAATAACGTTTTGTTATCAGAATGATAGAAATTGTATAAATATACAAGGTGTTTCCGAAATACAATCAGCTAGAAGGTGATAAATTGGGAAAAAAGGCAAATTTTGTTTTATTTAAGAGTTTCTTTATTTTTCATTTCCGAATTTAAAATTTACTAGTTCTAGAGTACTTGAATTTTACTAGCTGTGACAAAGAAGAATAAATATCTTATATAAGAAAATATCTTATAAACAAAATCAAGTATCTCAAAAACAAGTAGAACAAGGAAAATTTCAAACTCGATTTTCGCGAAAAAGGAAAAAAAAATTTTCCTTGACATTTTCGCATAAAAAATAATCTGTTAATTATTTTTTCTGTCATGTCTCAAATTACTTAAATTTAAGCATATCTGACAAAATTTTCAAACTCGATTGTTTCAAAAACGTTGCGCAGGAAAATCGGAAAATCGTTCATTCTCCTTTTTTGTCTTATTTTAGAAAAATGTAGAATCACATCCCGATTTCGAAAACATCCTATATGATACTGGTAGCTTAATTAAAACGTTATTTTGTGAGTAATGTATGTATGATTTATGTGCAATGGAAAGAACATATCTTTTATTAATTATATTTTTTAAGTCTCGTGGTTTCTTTTCATTTGAGAAAAATTTTTTGGAGTATTGCTCGCCACAGATTTTACATTAAAATTGAATATATAATAATTAAAAAGAAAATAGAAATACAAATTGTAAAGAATATTTGTAAAAGTAAAAAATATTCTCCGAGAAATTTTAACTCAACTTAGTAGATTAATAATTGTTTTCATAAACGAACTTCTGATCGATCGTTTTCCACTTTCTTTTCTTTTCTTTCTTATTTTTTTCTCTTTCTTCTTCTTTTTTAATTCTTTATCATCGTATTTAATCAGAACGTCTTAACTTATTTATCTCTCGATAACTCGAGGCACGACCGTTGTTCGTGCAATTAATTTCTAGTAGTTACTAATAATTTCCAATAATAGCCCTCTTTTCTTTTTTTTTCAAACTTGAAAAATCGGTATCGGTAAAAGAGCCGATATTTTACAGCATTTTAAATTGGTACATGCACATTCGTTTTTACCACGACTATTAATATTACTACGAATATAGAAAGTAAGTGTATGTATATGTGCAGGTTTGTGTATTGATAAATACGTATTTGCTATATACGTGCATAAATATGTACGTTTACATGTACCATACATGCTTTTATATGCTCATCTACATGCATGTATAGACAGTTATCCATCTTGTCGCTTGTTCGTAGAGTGTACATAGTCATTCTAATGTATTTCTTCATTCGTGAATGAGAGAGAGAGAGAGAGAGAGAGAAAAAAGGAAAGAGAAAGAGGGGCAGAACTTGTGACAATTTACAAGTATGCCATTATTAGAGTTATAATTATTATTATTATTATTATTATTACTCTTAGATATAGAAATATCGTGATTTTTATATTATTAAGTACGAATAATTTTTATTTTGTTTTACTTTCTTTTCGTTGTGACAAAAATAGTATCGTTGCATGATTGCGTTCACTTTTCGTTCATATTCGTCTACGTATGGATTAACACCATGGAATCGAACGAAATGAAAAAGTAGATAATTGCTACCCATTTCTTTCTTTTTTACTTCATGTTTCTGCGTTTTCCTTTTTTTTTTTTTTTATTAGATGGGCGAAAGATCCGAGCGTTTGAAGCATTTAGTAGCATACCATCTGAACGTTCGAATCCGCCTCCATCTCGCATCACCTCGCATCACCTCGCACTGCTTCTTGCACACTGCTGTGCCGTCGATTTTTGAATTCTTCTTTCATTTTTTCTTTTTCTTTTTTAGTAATGGAGAATCATGTCTTTTTTTTTTCAATGTCAAGTAGGGCCAGTTCGATAATGATAACGCATCTGAAGAACTGTAAAACGCTGAATATTCACGAGTCGATACCTACACAATGTTTACTTTAGATAATGCTTAGTATGTAACGCGTAAAAATCGTATAGAATTGAAGTCTATCTATATCTGGTAAATGTATTTGCAATGCGACCAGAATGAGAGAGATAATAAGAACATTTTTAATCATAATCGTTAATATTAGAAAAACTCAGCGTAATAATACGCGCAATAATAATATGAAAAACATAGTCTAAATGAGAGAAAAAGAATTTTGCGAATGGTTTCATCGATCTCTATATTCATAGTGAAAAGCGAACGATATAACGATGTTTTTATTTCATAATCTTAAGATTTGAAATATATAGCTATGGATAGATAGTGATGCGATATTGAGAAGAAAGAAACTATTTTATTGTTTATGATTCAAAAGTTAGCCAAAAAGACTGTTTATATAGGACGAATATTATATACGTAGAAATAATTTCTTATTATGATTATTAAAAACGATATTATCGTCATCGTTTATATTAATATTACGACTATATTATTCCTACTATTAGTATTATTTAGCTATTTACTGTTATTACCTTGACAGCGAATAAGGGTTCTAATAAAAAGAATAAAAAAAAACAAAAAAAAATAATAATATTTACATCAAAATTTAAAAAAAAAAAAGACAAATTTTTGTTGCTCTACGTAAATATAAGAAAGCTGTTCCTGTCTTCTTTCATTTTTATTTGAGATAAATTTGATCTCGGATAAAAAGGGAAATACTCCTGTAGAGATGTTGAAATTAACAATAATATTCAGCTTTTCAACTGTTTGCTAAATTATTTTATATTTTATGTAGCATTTTTATTTTTTAATTGATTACACCAAATATGAAATTGGTAAACAAATTAAATTAAAAAATGAGCAACAGAAAAATACACGATTGTGATTTTAACAGCTTACGAAACGAGGATTTATCAAATCGACTGTTTGTTGCTAGTTTACGAGTATTACTAATTATTTCTTCTCGTAAAACTAAAGATACGACATGTTTACAGGCGTATATTGTAATAATTATCATGAATGTTGTATATATATATATCAATTTTGAAAAAAGGTATAGAAAACTGTATCTTAGTAAACTATCTTAGTCTTCGTAAGTAGCAACTTATCGTTAATTATGTATAAATCATGTAAACGAAATAACAAATAAAAACGATAATACTTTTATATCAATAGTACAATAACCTCGTTGCATCTATAAAATTTAAAAGAAAATATAACTGTACAATCGTATTTTTAGTTTCTGACCTTTTTTAAACTCTTTTATAATGGCAACAATTTTTAATGTCATTAGCTATAATTTGTTACAACTTCAATATGTAATATTACATTCTTTAGAAAATTTTTCTATCTCGTACAATAATGCTTGTTTTTCTTCTAATGTTGCAAAGGTATATTCTACAGATGACAGGCAAAGTTTTAGAAGTTGTTCTTGTTTCAAACCAAATGTTGAACTAGCTATTTTATATTCATGAGACAAAGATGTATGAAAGACACCTTTGTCATCAGTCTAAAAAAATAAAATGTTCTTTTCAGAACGATTATTTAGATAAATGTTTACTCACATCAATTTTACTCACACCAAGACAAATAGGATGTCCAGCTTCAAATAAATATTTAAATTGATGAGATTCGTAAGTAGATACTGTTTTACATTGAATATTCGAAGTTAAACACAATTCTAGATGAAAGATAAAAATCACATATCTAACATATTCTTGGGAAAGATAATTAAAAAATTTTCATAAATTTGTTGCTCTTACCTACAGGAATCTTGGAATCAAGAAGCAAATTAAATAATTTGCTTGATCCTTGCAATGTAGGATGAATGCAGGTACAATGTCCTAATCTATCTGGTTTAAATTTGAGGATATCTATTGTTTCTGTTTCATTTGGAACCTACATGAGATAAATGAGAAAGCATTTGATATATCTAAAAATTCAACGAGATTAAATTTAGTTTAATCTAATTTCTACCTCTGCACAATGAGCTGCAATTTTAAGTCCCGCCAGTCTAGCTTTTCTTAATAATTCTAAAAATGTGCTTCCTGTCATTGGATCTCCACTCAGATCAAGTCCAACAATATATTGCGGATATTTTTTAAAAAAATTTATTGCTAATTCTATATTATCTTGAGCTGCTTTATATCCTTGTTTACGATTGATAGATATTAATAATTTCAACAATATACTTGGAAAATCAGTCTTACAAATCCTATAATTATAATCAACAATTTTTAATTGGCATTTAAGAACAAAAATTTTAGTTACGTTCAGTTATGTAAATTACATATTTACTCAAATGCTTTTATAATCGCTTCTACATATTCTTGTTTTGTCATTTTTCCTTCAATAGCACGTGGTGTACTTCTAAGCTCCAAATATATCACATTATCCTCTTTAAATTCTTTAACTGTATCATACGTAGAATGAAAAACTGCTTCTGGTGTTGTTGTTAATGAATGTGCTATATTAAATACTTTGAAACATCTATGAACCAATTATTACACCAATTATTATTATTTTGAGTATAACTTCATATAATTTGAAATTGAGAACTTGAAATTGTATATTGTTATTCGTACTCGCCTAATGATGAGAAATTTTTTATACTCATGAGTGTATCTTCAGAGCTTTTTGAATTGGGATTTTGCATTTTATATAATTTCTTCAAAGTATCCATGCTTAGGGATCCATTTAAATGAGCGTGAAGTTCCTATTATATACAAAAAAAGAAGATATCTTTTAACCTAAGCATTAACCTATACGTTTTAAGTTTCCAAATACATACCAATTTTGGAAGAGCTTGACACAAATTTTCTAAGTCCATCATAAAAAATAAATAAACTTTTGTCGTATGTACAAAAAAAATATCTTTTTTATTTTAATATGCTGTATATTTAAAAACCATTGATAACTCTACAGAAACTGAAAGTAATCAATTCCATTTGAAACGTGAACTACATGTTCTCTATATACACAACTTGTTCTATGATCTTAGATTCGTATTTTTCTAAAAAATTAAAAAAAAATAGGACAGTGAAAAATATACACATATATTCAATAAAATTTATATATTTATAATTAATTTAATAATAATAGAAAAGTATATAAATACAGACTTAAAACAGAATGCAAGATATTGTATCATTATATTCTCAGAAAATACAATTAAAATAATCTTAATTTTATAAATATTATATTAAACTTATATACTATTTAATATCTTTTGGAGTGCCTTAAAACTGTAGAGTACTAAAATATTGAATAATACTTGAAGATAGTATAATGTAAAATACTAGTATTTAATATATAATTGACATTAGTTCTGCAAATTTAATGTTTAAAAAAATATATATTATAGGGTATCTTTTAACTTTTTTTAAAACATTTCCAGCTTTTTCATAATATATAATAATATATAATATATAATAACTATTTATTATAATATTTCCTCCATAACAAACAAAATATAAAAATTAAATATGGAATATTAAAATTAAATTTAATTATATGTATATAACTTTTTCAGGAATGTTTATACATATAATTCTGATTTTTTATAATCTTTTAATTACGATTCAACATACAAGCACATCAAATATATAAAACTTGCAATTCGACATGGAAGAAATTTTTCCGAATAAATTTTAATTTCCAAATTTGGCATTTAATAATTCGTATTCGTATTTATATGATAAATAGTACCACAGCAAAGTATAGGCAAGTATAACAGTGAAGCATAAAACTGTCTTATATTTTAAGATTGAATACCATGCCTAGGAACTGTTCATAGTGAATTGTAATTACACCATCCAGATCTGTGTCTAACTGCCTGAAGGCAGAAGTTAATGTCTAAAACAAAAATTATTCATATTCATGAAACATAAATGTAAAATATAATCTGTAACAGAATATTATGCATACAGAGGCTTACATATAAAACTACACAGCACTGAATAAAGTCATCAAAATATATAGTACCACGACCAGCTCTGTCGTATTTGCGTATAAGAGTGTCTATAATTTGGTCTGATAATCTGTATCCAAAATTTGTTAGAGCTGTTTTTAATTCATTTCTATCAATATTTCCACTGTTGTCCCGATCAAATGACCGAAAGCAATTTTCCCAATCTGTTACATACTTCCATAAAGCTCCAAATTCTTCAAAACTAACTGTTCCCTTCTGGTTTTTATCAAACATACCTGAAGAATCAGGATCAGTTTTGTCAATATCAAACATACCTGTATGAATGCAATGAAATACACTAAAAACATATTAAATATGATAGAAGTCCATGTAAATCTACTCAAGAACTATGGGATGCATTGTTAACTGTATTATACATTATAATAATATAGCATGTTAAATCTATTTATAGATTAAATTAATAAAATAATAAAATAATTACCAATCATTAAACGCACTGTTTCTGGATTAAATGGTGTCCAAGTCCCATTTGAAAGTGCTTGTTGCAACTCTTCTGCAGTTATTGCACCAGATCTGTCTTTATCAACTCTATAATGTTCAAATAAAAAACATTAGTCTTATATACCTGTTGCTTTCTATTTATTATGAAAATTTTGTTCGTTCTATAAAACTATATATGAAAGATAATACATTTATGTCTTTCATGTACTAAATTAAGATCTTTTAAATTAAGAATTTTTAGACAATATTTACATAATTTAGAAATATTTATGTCTTAGAAAACTTCTTGAGATATTTAAATAATTTCATTTAAATGATTCACCATGTATGTAATATACATAATTGATAATTTATATCATGTCATACCTACATAATTAACGGCAAGGTTAATTAAATATTTAGCATGTTGCAATTTTTATGATACAACACATACAAAATCATAGAGGTTATATAGAATAAAATTCATATAAATTTTAAAATACCTTTGAAAAACATCCCACAGAAATTCTCGACTAGGCATAGGCGATACAAAAGACATTTTTTAATTCTTCGTTTCTCCAAAATATAAAATTAAATATAGTTATATTTAACACTTTTTTTATTATTATATTTTGCAATTGAATGCAATGAGTAACGTATATGATAATATTAATCTATGTTTGCAAAAGAACTCCACAAAAAACACGTCAGAAATACGTCACGCCACTGAAAATTCCGTGTTATTACTAGAAATACAAACACTATTACCCTCTAGCGACAAGTGGTTATATTAATTGAAAATTGTTTGCATAGTCATAGACAAAATACAGAATAGATTTGACATTCAATGTTTTTTCATGTACCATGTTGTACCTTATATTGATAAACGTTAAAAACTGTTAGAATATTTAGAATGTTATATAAGACGAGAATAAAATCGGCAATTTTTGAAATGACACCTCGGAAAAATGAAGGAAATTAAAATGTCATATACTTACCTTTACAGATTAACTTTCAGGCAACACTGCCTGTACTGAAATAACTGTATCGAAAATTAAATAAAATACTTTACCCAAATAAAATTTGACTTTACATATGAATTAATATTAAAAGTTTATACAAGCTAATTTCACTTATTATATTAATTTCACAAAAGATTGATTATAATCTTTAACTGATAATGTTTATATGGTGTTAATAATATTGATTGTAATACTTTTCTTTTGCTGTATCTAAATTATTGCGAAAAACTATTGGATTATATATATACAGGGTGTTTTGTAACTTTTGGGACCCACTTCGGGAGCTGATTGTACGCCTAAAAATACGTCCTATTGCATGGCCTGCTCATTCTCCGGATTTGAATCCATTAGATTTTCATTTTTGAGGACATTTAAAATCACACACTTGAACATTTGAAAACGCTGAAATACTACGAAATAGAATAGAGCAAGACTTCTGACAAATTCGAGAAACACCAGGAATGACAGAGAGAGTAACCAGATCAATGACAAGACGCGTGCAGGCTTGTCTTCAAATGCAAGGTGGTCATTTCGAGCATCTTTAGTAAAAGTAATTAAAACAGAAAATTCATTATATCTCATAAACGAAGACAGATAGGACATATATTTATATGATTTTTTTTCATTATTTTTAAGCGTACAATCAGTTCCCGAAGTGGGTCCCACAAGTTACGAAACATCCTGTATGTATTGATTAGTGAATATCACCCTAGTTAAAAATTATTACGCATGCGTTTAATACATTATATAAATTGTAATATAAAAAAACTTCTCTTAATTTTATTTTTTTAATTTTGATGTAACACAAATAAACGTATCTTAAATTTAACTCTTAGTTCTAAGTTAATTTAATAAATTATTTAATTCTGTAGTGCCTAATGGAGTAAATATATAACTTTTATATATCTATTTATATATGTTTTTTGTATTTATATGTGTAAATATGTAAAAAAAGAAATAAATTATGAGAGATTACAAATTTCACCTGCGAATGAAAATTTGATTGATTAGTGGGGAAATTATATATTATTTATATATTTTGTTATTGTTTAATATTGTTTGTAAAATAGTATTTATTAATAATGTTGAATACATATTATAAAATATAATAAATAGAACGAGATAATATATCTTGGTTAAACCTGATTAAATAAACCTAAAATATTATATAACTCTCTCATTTTATAAAAACACTTATGACTCTTTTGTACGATTGTTCAACAAAATAAAAATTATTAATAACAAAAGCTGTTATGATTTTTTACATTGAAGTAAAAACCTTCTTTACCTTTCCTTATAAAAGAAAAATATTTCATGATTACTCTATTAAATATACCCAATATTATTTTTTGCAATGGAAATTTTGTATATAAGATTGGTTTATATATTTTGAATTCTGTGCACATTCATATTACGTTTGTTTAGATCTTTTTATTTTCCATGCTCCAATTCTGTATTTATACCAAATGAAAAATATGTCTTTACCCATTTGTAGCCAGCTCCAAAAGGGGACTATTTTCGATCCTTCAATTTCTGTCCAATTTACAGGAATCTCAGTAATAGGAATGTTTAAAATTTTTGCAATATATAACATCTCTACATCAAATGCCCAACGTTCAACATGTAAGGCTTGGAATACAGCTCTTGCAGATTCACGTGTTATAAGTTTAAAACCACACTGTGTATCTCTGATATCTCTTACACCCCAAAACCAAACTAGGAAATGGAATCCATGCATTAAAAATAATCGGAAAAAAGATCTTTTGGCAGTTTCTTCTTCTCCTAAGTGAGCTCTGGATCCACATACTATTGCATGAGAGGAACTTACTTCATTTGGTTTATCTATATAATCAACTGAAAAAAATGTTTTTTCACAAAAATTCAATAGATTTTATTTTATATCATGTTTTGAAAAATAACTTACATCCTAAAATATTTTTCAAACTATCATCTAACTTTTCCAAATCTTTAAATTTAGTAGCACCATCTGCATCTGCAAATAATATTACACTTCCTCTTGCACTCAGTATACCCTTAAACAAAAGTAATTACAGTAAAAAATAATTAAAATAATATTAATATTAATTATTAAATTTCATATTATTGTGTTACTAACTAGTCTTACTGCACCACCTTTTCCTCTGTTCTTAATAAGATTTAATACTCTAATGTTATCATATTTTAGTGCATACATATGAGCAATATCCACAGTTTTATCAGAACTTCCATCACTTACTATAATCAGTTCATAAGTGTGTCCATTTTTTGAACGCTGTTCCAAATATTCCAAGCATTCATCTAACATTACTGGCACTATAAATTAAATATATAAACATACTGTTTTCAAAAATATGCAATTAATCTATCAATATTTACATCTTTGTTCTTCATTATATGCTGGTATTACAACACTTAAATGTACACTCCATTTTTCATATAAAGATGGAAAAGCATCTATACTTTTTGTTTTTGGATTAAAAAAATATTTTTCTTTCTCATCTCGCCATATTTCTGGATATGGTTTTGTTATTATAAATAATATTATAGAAAACTGAAATCAGGGGATTAATTGCAATTATACAATGTCTTAATAAAAAATTATTTAATTAGAAGATATTAACATACTTATAGAATTGCCACGTTTATACAAATTTAAATAACAGATAAATAACAATATAACCTAAAAACGTACCACAATTATACATATTATTGCAAATAAAATAGTGTAAAGAAGTAAATAATATAATTGTATCATTTCAATGTTATTGTATTTTCAAATATTAACAAAAAAATATTTTACACAACACGTATTTTTCATAGTTTCTTATTTTCTTGTACCGCCACTCTGTCTGAAGTTGCGATTAATTTGCAACATTTAACAGTTGGCTACACTAAATATGAATTTTATCGCATTGATGGAAAATCTTTGTATTTTAAATAAGAGATAGTCATAAAGAAATTTTAGTGTTTAAAATAAATATAAAAATTCACACAATTTCACATTTTTAAAAAAAATTGAACAATAAAATTTTTAATAAGCAATTGATAAGTAACTGATAATTGATAATTGATAACGAATGTTTGTACATATAGAGGGAGTTCTACGTGTCAAAACTATTTTTATTATGTTTAAAAATAAAATTTGAATTGTTAGAAAAAAATAAAGTGAACTTTAATCAACATTCGCGGCTTTATTAATTTTTTCTCTCGTACTATTCATTTAACGCAATTCATTGTATGCTTATTACAAAATAATTATAAAACTTATTCATAAATAGTACATTATTTATATATACATAAATTCAAACATGAATTCACACTATAATGGATTCTGATAAAAACAATAAAATTAATATTTCGGACATCCAAAATAAAGGTGAAGATAATACACATATTTAACATATATATGATACATATTTAACATATATTGATAATACAACAGATGAAAAAATACAAAAGAGAAAAATAACTATAACTGTAGACGAAGATGATCCATGTCTTAAACGAGATGTAGATGCAAAAAAACGTGCAAAATCTGTATTTCCTGGTGAAGATCCAAGGTTTGTTTTATTATAAATATTCTTCTGTCGATACATCAGAGAAAAATTAATCTTTTTGGTATTCTGAATAAAAATGGTTTTCAATATCGTTATTTAGATTTCAACAACAAAATCAAACATTACGTTGTTGGGTAATGTATCATGATTTCTATCGTTGTGAACATATTTTGGGAGAGAAATCAGATGTATGTACTTGGTTTAAACAAGTTTTTACATCTATATGTCCAAATGATTGGATTCGTCGATGGGATGAACTTAGAATTGAAGGCAAATTAATCTAACACAAATATAATACTCAAGGGAAATTATCTAGGAACAAATATAAAAATCAGGAAAAATAGTAATTTTGTTTTCTGTGAGAAGGGATAAATCTAATTTGGAAAATAAACAAACTCGTCTTAGAAAAAAATATTAATCTTTTATTATACAGGTACAAGACTTTTATGAGGTAACTTATATAGAAATATGAAATGAATATTTGTTGCAATGCCCGACGTTGGCCTGTCATATGGCTGTCTTCAACAATCGGTCAATAATTTCTTCTTTTTTTTATATTAATCACACTAATTACTGTAGTTTATATACGACACTTTTTACATATGTAAAAAATAAACACTTGCAGCAAATCTTCTATAAACTTTCGTTAGAATAGAAGCTTAAAATAGCACAGTATTAAAAATTTTGCTTTTTTTTTAAATTTATGATCCTTATGTAATAAAATGGCTATTTTAATTTGTGCACAAACTCCTGCCGTGATGAAGATAACTTACCATCTTCAGATGTTACTTCTGCTAACAGCATTCTTCCATCTTTATGGGATTTTATTTCTTCAAAAATAGTAGTATCTGCAATTATGAAAGTGTATTATAAATAATGCTTATTCATAATAAAAAATGTTTCAAATTAGAAAATAATACTGATCATAAAAAAGTATGATCACTTTCAATAGAAGTGATTTTTATTTTTTAATGTCCCATGAATCTTATCATTAGAGATTAAAACCACCTTACGTATAACATAACAATGCCATTTCGGTAACTAAATGCTACTTGGTTTGGCTCCCTGTTTGATGAATAAATTGACAATCTCCATCATTGCATGTTCCCATTAGTTCGTATGGACAAAGGATGCCATTGGGATTCGTGTTCCTGGTTAAGAATGATAGAAACAACAAAAAAAAAATACTCAAAATTTTTGTACAATATAATTAGAAAAACTGTATTATTTATAAATAAATATATTTAATACTATTGAAATGTTTAGAGAGCGAAAACCCACCTTGATACTTTGAAATGTATTAATATTGATTCATAAGGTAAAAGTGTCTTCTTCGTTGGAAATTTATCTTCAAGTCTTCTAGAATTTTTCTTGCCACTATCAGGTTCTGAAGTTGTAGGATTTATTATATTATTTTCTGGCAACTTATTATTCGCTGAATTAAGCATACCAGTAGTAGAAAGGACAACATCATTTAAATGTATTTGTACAGTTTTTTCAACTTCATTTGATTTTGAAGATAATTTATCTTCATTAAAAATCGTTGCACTTTCTCTCAATAAAGATTCACTTTGAGAAATTTCTGCACTGGTAGTAGGCACAGTCTCTTCTTCTAGTGTTGATAAATCATATATATCAGAAATGTCAATAGATGGTACTTTTTTTTGAGAAAGTTCCCGCGTATGATTAGCTACTTCTTTCAGCCTATTATCTAAAAGTTGTGCTCCAGCTTCAGGTATCCTAGAAAAAATCACGAGGTAATTAAAAATATTTATATTTGTTTACAATGATTTAAAGATTATTTGTTCATAATAATTTTATTAATATATTACTTGTATTCTTTTCCTGCAATTCTATTTCCCAAGGTCGAACAAATAGTTGCAAGTTTAAAACATTCTTGTCGATTTGCATTGATCTTTCCATGTGCTTCTACTACTTTTGGACCTATATTATTAATGCGATTACGTTGCACTTTTAATCTTTCTTCAGCAACTTTGAGTTGTTCCCTGAGCTTTTTTACTTCAGCAGCTAAATTCGTCTGTAGATCTCTTTCCATATGCCACTGACGAAGGTTACTAGACATGTCTGCTAAATCATCTAGGATTGTGTAGCTATTTTATCAATATAAAAATAAATTATTATATAAAACTACATAAAAAATTCATAGATATTGAATGAATTTCTATTAAAAATTTTTTTTACCGTTTCATAACTAGTTCTTGCTCTGTATCCATTAAACGTTTTTCTTGTTCTGCACGGGAGAGATTAAGCAATGTATTTAACTCCATTTTGACATCTTTTTTAATTTCTTCCCAGTTCTCTTCTATACTTTTTATATCTTTCGGTGATTTATTGTTTTTTAACGATAAAAAATGACTATCATGTTCATTTTCTGTATTTGAAGTCAAGGATGTATTTTCTTGACATTGTGAAAGATGTAACGTAGATTCAGATGTATCAAAATTTTCTTTGTTTCTTTGATGTTCTGCTAATACAATAGTCGATGCATCTGAATCCACTGTACTATAATCAAATGGAATATTATTTATAACACTGTCTTCTCTTGCAGGATGTGAAAATTGGTTTATACTATTATTATACATTTTTTCATTATCGCTATCTTTATTTCCAGAAATATTTTCACTGCAATTAATTGCTGCTTTGTTGTTTAAGGACACTTTATCATTTATTGTTACCACTCGTTTGTTTGTATCACTTTTTACTTGTACTTGAACATATTTCTCATTTACTTCATCTGTAGATAAAATTTTTAAGGGCGAAATTTTCGTTTTTGTTTGAGTTTTTCGCAATATGTTTGTCGATTGTAGATTATTCACAATTGTTTTATTTCCAATGTTATTTGGATTACTTTCAATAGGTGTACAAATATTATTTGTCCTTGATTGATTTAGATTTGAGTGTTCTTGTTTATCAACATTATATTTGCTTGCTGTAGTAGTATTTTTTATTGAGTCTACTAAATTTTTAGAACAATTCTCTTTGTTTAATTGCTGTATATTTATACTTTGACTTTTTGAAGGCATCATATGATGTACTTTTGCATATAACTCTTTATTTGGCAATGTGGATTTTGAAAATACTTCCATATTTTTATTCTTTATTGTTTTATGTAGTTTCAGTTTCTCGCGTTCTAATATTTGTTGTTTTAATCGACGATATTCTTCTTGTTGAGATGCAGGTAAATGACGAACAGCCTGTAAAAATATTCAAATAAATATTTCATATATAATAAAAATTTGCTATAGTATTATAGTATTATTACCAGTGGTGTGTATAGATTGGATGAATTTGGTTTTCCTGATTTTGTTGTTAATATTGTATCTTGTTTAGGTATTTGTGATATTGAAGTTGGTCTTGCAGCTGCCAATGATTCTTGTTTTTTCCGTGCTGCACGTAAAAATTGCTCTAAATTTTTTTCAAATTCTGCTGTAGAATTTATTGTTGACTGGTGTTTTTCCATTGTGACAGCATGTGTTGAAGTGGCAGCTATATTTTTTTGTCGCTCAAATTCAGAATCACTTTCTGTATCAGACTCTAAATTTATAACAATCCTCTGTATATCAGACAATGCCTTTGTATTAGTAGACCATTTACTGTCATTAGATTTTACTGTAGATTGCACTTTATTTTCTGAAATTTTTTGCTTGTTATAAAGTGTAGCTTTCTGTAAATTTAATCTCTTTTGAATCATTGTATTTTGGTATTTTTTTGCATTATTTACAACTTTTGTACTTGCAGGAATTGAAATTCTTTTTACAAGTTTCCTTTGTGAACCTTTTGTCATAGGAATTCCTTTTTTCCTACCAATTGTTGTATTTAAGGTTTTAATATTTTCAACACATAAATTTTTTTCTGCAACATTATTTACTTCTCCTCCAGCATTTGACTGATTTTTATCATTTTCAGAACTATCCATATGAGGAATTGATAAATTATTAACTGCAGATAATACAGTGTTTGACACAGTTTGATTTACAAATTCTTGATTTGATTCAGTAGATGTACTTATTGTTGTAACTGTAATTGAATCAGAAGTATCATTAGCAGCAATCTTTGCTCGTTTTGGTAAAGAAGCTAGTAAAATTGCTCTTAATGCTTCTTCATCTTCATCAAGACTTTGTCTTCTATCTTCTGTATTTTTTCTCTGTTTTAATGTATTATTAGATGAATTATTATTCTTTTGCATTTCTTCCTCATTAGTTTGTAGAGAAATTTCATTTCTTTCATCATCAATGTTTCTAGAGGCTTCTGATATACAATCTGTCTTATCCATTTGTATCCGAATTTCACTTTTATTATTTTTATCATCTGTATAAAGAATTTGATTTGATTTATGTATTTGTTTATCTACAGCATTTACATCATCATTTATATCATTATGCTTTTTCGCAATTAATGCATTATTTTTCCTTTTTGAAACTTTTTTAGGCAGTTTCTTTTTCTTTTGTATTGGAGTTTTAATATCATCAGTTGTATTTGAACTTGTAGTTATATTATTTTGTATCAGACACTGAGTTATTGCATTAGGATTGTATTCTACTAGCGAAGTATCAGATGATTTGTCTATAGATGTTTCATTCGTTAAATCTTCGTGTAAAAAATCATGAAATGCAGTTGGTATAGCTAAAACAGAATGAGACTTTTGTGGGAAGGACATTAACTTTAGTGGTTTAAAAGAAGTATTTATCTTTATACTTGTTTCTTCATTAAGAACAACTGGTTGCATTTCTGCACTTTTAAATGTAGGTTCTTGCTGTAATGTATTCTTCCTAGTTGGTAATGGTAGCTGTAATTGTTTGTTTGTTTTTAAAATTGACGCTGGGACAAGTGTTCTATTAATTAATGTTGGTATTTTATTTACGTCTTTGGTAACATCTGGTAATCCTTTCATATAAAGCGGTTCTAATATTTTTTCTTTAACATTATTTGATGCAACATCATTTGGAATGCATTCTGAAGATTCAGGAAGATCATCAATTGTTATCATTGAACTACTTGGTGATATTGATTCCATAAGAGAATTTGTAGCAGATCCAACAATTGGATCAACTGAAAGAGTTTCTGCTTTATTTAATTGTTCATCTTCAGTTATATTGCTTATTTGTTTTGTAGTTTGTGTATGTTGGTTTGTTGATACATTATTACATTGTTCATATGTATCAGAGTTATATGATTCAAAAGAAACTAAAGAAGAATTTGAGGTAGTCGGTGGACCAAGAGTTTGTGGAAGAGCATGTGATAAATCAGGATCATATATAGGAGTATCAGTTGGAGAATAAGGCATTTCTTGATTTGAATTAATATCTAAGGCTTCAGAAGTATTATTACTTTTAACAGCAGCACATGTATCTTCATTAGAATGTACATTTAAATGTGAATTATGTACTTTCATAAAATCTGATTTAGAAGTTTCTTGGAGATCAGTTGATAAATATTGTATATTTGCATTTGTAGCACATAATGGATTTTGTGGTGATTCATAATATACAATATTTGGCAAATAACTTTGATTTTTAATAATTTTCTCTTGATAAGACTTTTTATCATCCTGACTAGATGTTATAAAATTTGGACTATTATTTGTATTATTAAGACTAATGAATGATACATCAGATGGTTGAATACCTAACAATTCTGTATCTATAGGTATATTGGCAGTAATTTTATCTGTTGGAGAATATGGTAATTTTTCTTTTTCCCTTTCAACATCTGTATCTAATTCCATATCTTCTGTGTGACTATTTTCATTCATAGAAGGTGGAGTATGAGGTGGCGATGCAAAACTTAACAATTCTTCTCCAGGTATAGGGATATTATCTAAAAAGCTTTGAGTAAATGGACTTTCACTGCGAAAAGTATCAGATTTCTTGGATTTTCCTGATTTTATACCCTTTTGAATTCTATTCTGATGTTTTTTTAATACAGCAGAACGAAGTGCAATCATTCGTAATTGTAAATCTTCTTCATCTTGATCATCATTTATGTTTACACTCATACTTTTTGCAATTTCAGTCTTTGGTTGATCATTTTGTTTATTTGATTTATTTTGTTTTGTTTCAAGGGCTTTTTGCCTTAATAATGCTAAATCTTCATCATCATCTACGTCATTAGATTCTTTGTTAGTTATGTGTACTGTAGATTTTTCTTTTGAAGAATTTGTAAAATCAGTATTATTGTCGGAAACACCTTTCATCATATTTGTTAATTTCTCTTTTAATGAAGATGCATGATCCTTATTTTTATTTACAGTTTCTTCTAATGAATGAGTTCCCATTGAACCTAATTGTCTGACTTTTTTTAATAAATTATGTGTATTGACATAGCTATGAGATGGCATTAATTCGGCATATGATGTTTTCCTAGACATTGTCTTTGTTGAGGATCTGTATGGTGATCTCTTAGGAGATTTAAGTCTTCTTGGGGACCTCCTTGGTGATCTGATACGACTGATTGGAGATTTTGATCTTCTAAAAGGAGATCTTGATTTCATAAGAGATCTATGTCTTTTGGGTGGTGATCTTGTAATTACTTTTGATCTACTTCTATGAATAGGGCTCGCTTCTCTGTGGTGTGATCTAGAATTATTTTTCGTTATATCGTGTTTTATCGTACTAACACATTCTTTCACAGATATATCCACATTAGATGAAGAAACTTGATCATTCAATATTAATGTAGATGCACGATTTCTTTTCTTTTTTTTCTTTTTTTTCACTCTACTTCTTCCAGGGGAAAGTATGATAAATTTGTTGGAATTATTTGCAAGACCAACAATTTCCATATCACTGTCACTTGAAATAGGCACAAGATCATCATTTTTTTCTTGAAGCGTAGAAGTTGTATGTTTTGTTCCAATGCATCCTGACTCTTTTATTTGATGACGGTTTTCTTTTCCATGGACTGCATCTTGTAGAATAAGGTCAACTTCTACTTGATTGAACATGATATGTCGAGAATAATAATACATTGGATGTGAAGAAGTTGATATATTATCAAGAAGAAACATATTAGATTAATTAATTTCAAAAATATTAAAAATATACATAAATTAAAAATATAAAACCTTGTCTTTTTAACAACAAAACGAAAGAGACAAAAGAATAGAATTTGCACTTTCTATATTTATTGTTTCTATTATTCATATTTTTATATTAGAAACAGAATATTAGATCTATAGCTGATACATTAATAATTGACATTTATTGCCAACGACTATAAGATTGCAAATATATATATATAAAAAAAAAGCTGTATCACTTAATTTACCTCTTTTATTAGAACCATTGGAAGGATAAAATTTGGCAGGGATTGTACACCACGTTGTATTGTGTTGAGTCGATAGACAATTTGAACAATGAGAAATTTTAGTGCCGTATCCATAATTTAAATGTCCTTCCTCGGAAGAACTTACATCTTCCAAGGATATTTCACCTTCTTCTTTCTCATCTAACACACCAATTGTTTCCGTACACTCACTCGATAAATCGCTAGCCATTTTTGAACTTACCCTCGGGCCACGAACAATTAATCGTGTCCATCCGTTAAAATTAAAAAAAAAAAAAAAAATTGAAAACTATTTTATGAAAATTAGGGTTAATTACGTATTAGGAATAATTGTGAATCTTTTTTGTCAAACTAAACCTAACACACGCACGACACCTTATTGCAAATAATCCCACAATTGAAATTTGCTAACAAAATGAATAAAAAATTTAAATAAACTTCAACATTGTATTTAATTTAGAATCAGAGAAACAACTTAGTCACCACGATGTCCGTTTTTATAATAGCTTTGTCCTCACAACTAAATGTATGCAATAGTTCCGCCATACTGAGCCATTTCCAACATATGACATGAAAGTTGATATTCATAGATATTCGGTGTGTTCTAAAATTATACGAACAGTTACATTCTACATAATTCTACGAGGTAACTGATTACTTTCATTAATTAATTTTTTATTGTGATTTAAATGACATTTATATTATTATTATTACTTAAACTACATAAATATAATACATACATCGCGTATTATATTTTACGACACGGGAAAATACTAGGCAACGGGAAATACTATTCGTCAGTTTTGTTTGATCGGAGTTTTGAACGAAGAATATTAAATTTCGGATGGACGTAATGTTTAAGTAAATCTTTATCAAATATAAAACGAGCCAACGATTGATCACCAATTCCTGAGAGAACAGCTACAAATCGTCCCATTTCGTTCACACTTTTCATCTGATCTTCCATAAAACCCGTAATAATAAAATCGCTTGCATTTAAATCGCCATGTTTCTCTGCCACAGTATTTACCGCTACTAGCTTCTCGGTTACCTCCATTTCCAAATTCAATGCCGTCTAAATAAATGTAGTGACCATGTTCTAAAAGTTGCATATCACTAGAGGAATAATTAATTTACTTTCTGAATTATTTACTTTGAAAGCATGTAATGGACATTTCCAGTCTTGATCAATAGGAGGTTGTACTGGACACAAATTTACAAGGCCTCCGCGCATTTTGACATAATTTAAGAATCTGATAGCATGTTCATGTTCTTCGTGATGCATTTGCATGAAAAATGATTCACATCCAGGCAATGCTACGTCAACGCGTCCGAAATATGCAGCCTACAGAAAATAACTGACTTAGGATTACACTATTAAAAGTAATATATTTATTTAAATATATTTAAATAAGACAAGATAGGACAATATAAATATATTTATTTTTTTGTATTACCATGGACAGATAATGGTAGAAAGCTTTTAATTCCATATTTATTTGCTCGTTTAATATGGCTTCAGTTTCTTCGTGAAACTTAAAATTGGCTCGATCATCACTTGGCCATTTCATCGGTTTATTAATGCAAAATTCTTTAGGCGTTTTATCCGCACAGGAAGTAACCAAAAATTTGATAGGAAATATTTTTGGTTTACACGTTCCCTTATGAAATTTAATTCTCAAAAAAGATTCTTTATATTTTTATATTTTCGTATTATATTTGTTACTAAACTTTTTCATTGATAAAACTTAGAAACTTACTTTTCAGCATATAATTGTCGAATACATGAATTAAAGACATCAACAAGAATTTTTCTATCGGTACACAATTTTAACATGGCTTATTTTTAGTTACTAACAATTTACATGTACATTTCTTGATAGACAATGCAGCTAATTATAAAAGTTTTAAAAACTATTTTTCAAGAAATTTTCATTTTTATTCACATGTCACATTATCGATTCGCAATTTATTTTCGATGTCATAAATTTTAAATTTGGTAACAAAAATAGGAGTTATACATATATATTGACAATTATCAAGCTTTATTACGGTTAGCAGTGTGTTGTGCAATACATGTTTATCAGATTTCTTGACATATTAAAAGATACGAAAAAAATATAAAATTAAAATTTTTATAATATTTCTCTGAAGTATTTGTAATTTGACACAGAAATTAGAGATGCTTTTCAACATCATATAAGTTCATAGGTATTTATTCTTAGCTATTATCGATAAAAATTCTTTCAATTATCGATAGAAATTATTTGTTTCTTATTTTATATAATGTTTATAATGTTTTATTCATCATCATGCATTTATTTAATTTTTTTTTACTAATAATGCTATTTTTTCAAAGTAGTATTTTATTCTTTAAGTTCCTGATCGAAGATATGTACTCCTAAACCAACACCAACTCTCTCTAATTTTGTTATATGGTTGGCAAGTTCATTGATAGAATCTACTTGTTCTTTCAGATACTCGGTTTCAAGAAAATCTAAAAGATTTGGGTCGTTATGCTGCGATGCTAAGGCGTGCATCTCAAGGAGACTCTGAAAATAATAAAACATTCGTAAATACATTTCGTTAAAAAGAGCACTGTCTTATCATTTCAAGATCATCGATACACATACTATAAATTTGTAGAGAAAAGAAAAAAAAGGAACGATAAAGTTGGAGGAGCTGGGATTTGAACCCAGGCCTTCCCGTATGCGAAACGGACACTCTACCACTGAGTTACACCCCCACATTAGGAAAAGTTTCAAAATAATTCATAATATAAAATTGAGAGTAAAATAAAATAATTAAAGTGGAAGTTAATTCATGAATGAAATCACTAAAATTAATAAAATATAATTAAAAGTATTTAGTACAGTCTATGGAAATGAGACATCATAAAAAGATTACATCATCATCGTTTTTATATGAAATTACTTTTTCATCCTAATAACAATAATTTCTACAGTCGAAATATATAACGTGTGAAGCGGACATAAATACCTCGTTGACTTGCCTCTCTAGCTTCAATGCTTCCGTCATAGCATCATGAGCACTCTCCCAATCATCTTTTGGCGGGCTCTTGATAGGTTTCAAAACGATGCTGCCACCTCTCTTGTTTTGATACGTCATAAATTTCATGGCATGTTCTCTTTCTTCATCTGAAGCTTTTTTGAAATATGTGTGATGACCTGGCAAAGCTACGTCACTTCTATCGAAATAATATGCCTGAAAGAACAATCACGACAACAGGATGTATTCACGGGAAAAATAACGGCACGGAACATAAAATGTTTCTTCTTATTTAAATTTCATTGCTTAACAAAGTTTAATGTTAAAAGCAATCACTTAATCAATATGTATGTTGACTAACCATAGACAGATAGACATAACTCGCGAACAATTCCAAGTTGATTTGGTTGTTAATGGCTTCCTCACAGTCCTTATGAAAGTTTTGTCTAACTAGACTCATGGTGTCTAATTACAATCTATTACAAACTATTTTAATAAGGTACAACACAAATATGAAGGCACGATGTAATGACAATAATTTCGGAGAGGTTTACAATGCATCGAATATAACCAAATGATACGGAATAGTGACACACGCAAGCGCAGATGCGCACATTTTATCGATTTCATGTTAAAAATTATGACCTTGAATATAAACATAAAGGACTAAAAAATTTAATGTAATTTGAATTACCGTTCTAATTGACTATCTATTTTTCGCAAAGTCATGATAAGTATGATTCTAATCATTATTTTTTCCTTTCTGCATTTTAAATTGTAAAAAGAATTATTCCATACATTTAATTATTGCCTATAAATTCCAAAGAAAAAGATATACATAATAAATTTCTAGAGTTATTAATATTATTTCTAAATTAAAGAATATTTTCAGTTTCTTTTTATTTAATTCAAACATTGCTTGAATCATGCGCGTTCGTAAAGCTTCCATTAATTATAACGTCTCGATTACCTCGAACCAATAGGAAGAAAGTTGCAATGACGTAGTTTGGGTAGATTTTGGAACGCACGTAAACGATGTGTATGCAAGTGGAGATGCTTTACCATCAACTCGATGACTTAATTTCAATTTAAATATTGAAGGTAGCATTTTTTTTATCTCCTTTTTATAAATTTATAGATAAATTCAACTTGAACTTAGTTTCAGTTTTGTACATTGCACATTTTGTTTATGATATTGTAATTTTAATTTATTTTGTTTCGTTCTAATTTTGATTATTTCAAATGTACACGATTAGTGTACACAATGATTTTTTAAATTTCAAAGTTTATATTATTATCTACTATAACAATATGTTAACTTATTATTGAAAATGAAAAGATACAAATAATAGGTTATATGTGACTGCGACGATGTTTATATCCAAGTTATAATTAATGTGATTATTTTCAATATAATTACACATTTAGTTTCAATTTCATGGTTTATGTTGAAAAAGAATTATATGCAATAAATATTCTTTCTTAAAATTGACAAGTAATAGAAAGATTACCTTTGTTGACATGAAACGCATATTGTACATGTTTGAAAGATAATAATTGTTTTTTTGATAAAAAAAATTTTTCTGATATTAATTTTTATAAACAGAAAGAGGAAGAGAGAGAGAGAGAGAGAAAGAATTTTATTTTGTGTAAGAGAAAAAAGGAAAATGTTATTGTAGATTTTATAGGATACAAGGAAATATATTCTAGGTTTATATATTACAGTAATAATAATACAAAGGTATAATTAATACTTTATTGTCATGTTAAAGAAATTATTGTAATACAGATCTATTACAATGTAATGTTTTATGTCTTATCATCCTTTAGAGGTAGCTATAGCTTGAGAAATGATTACAAAAATTTATGAGAATATGAAATATATTTATACAGTTTACGACACAATTTTATATCTTTATTTATAAAATATAAAACATATATTTATGATTTATGAGTATCTTCAACAAAGATAATAATTAAGATAATCATTAGAGATTTAATAGTCATTATAGAAGTTCTAAAAATTAGTATTATAGAAAAATTATAAAATTTGATTATTTCTTATACAAAGATATGTGGGCTGCTTGGTGAATGTTATTTTTAAAATATTCGGAATTAGATTTAATTGGATTTAAATTACTGAGAAACTCTAGAATTTTACCATCTTTTGTAAAGAAAGATTGGTAGATGAATATTATTTCCAAAACATTTATGCATTATTATTATAAGTTTTCAACAATGTTCATTACAAAGTTGAACTACAAACGGACTGTAGAGTTTCATTGCGCCTTGGGAAGAATGGTTGGTTGATGAATATTTTTACACGTATACAAAAATTGCGTGGTAATTTGAATTCAGAAATTTCGGTTGTCACATCTCGAAAATGAACTGATTTTTCGTATCATCGATGCTTCGTGGAAGCCCCATCATAGCCGCTGTCACACGCACAAGAGTCTTATGTCTAATCTTGTGCAGTGGCCAGCAGCTGCATTAGGGTCCATCATTGTTCTTTTCTCCTTTTTATGAGGATGATTTCCACTCGAATAACTTTTTTCCGAGGTTACACAGCTTAAATAAGCATAAAAGACATAGAATAACATCTGTGACAGAAACAACATATTAAAATAAAAGAAAGTATAGAAAACGAGTTTTATCTAGTATGAACAGCATAAGTTATTCAATAGATTTCGGTTGATTTTCAATCTTTTAAAAATGACTCTCCTAATTCCTATTTATACTGTATTACAGAATTTAGTTATGGCTAAGCGTTATTATCCTTATTACGAGTATTTAATCCGATTTTTTTCGTAGTTGAAAAAGTGGGATACCAACTAGTAAAGTATGTATAGGCGCAGTGAATGAATGAGTAAAATACTACTCGGTTAGCACCGTTTTTTACCGCGTATGCAATGATATGCTCTATTTCTTCTTGTATATACTATCTACGGATAGTCTCGTTATGCTCGATATTTTAAAAAAATCAGCACGATTCTTTGCAGTAGTTACGTCCCAGAAATTTGTGAAACTACTCTGTGTACCCTTCTTTTATAGCACGACGTTTTCTATGTATTTAACGAAAATAGGAAAGTGCATTTCGATATTTATAATAAGTTATTTTTTGGCGAGTTATTTTTCTACTAATTATTTTACTATTATTTGTACTAACGTCGTTTCTAACGATGAGAAACAATGACAGATACAGCCCATGAAAACGCGCGAAAAGTATATCAGTATCAAAATAAGTTGTGGGGACCGGACATCTGGCAGTTCCGTAGGTTGATAGAATAGTTCGACTCGAATACAAAATTCATCGCCTTCGATTTTCCTATCTGTACATTTCTGCCGTATGAACTTACCGTAGTTTATACACATCGAGGCGAAGTCTTCTTCCATTGTCTACTCACGATTAGCAGTGATCGAGATCGAATTTTTGAACAACCGCTGCAAAGTACAAATGCAATTTCGTTCCAATAAAAAAAGGAATAAAATATCTCCGATAGTTTTGTTATATTCGCCGATCATCACGAGAAATGGTCCCGCGAGAACTCGCGAACCATTTTTGTCGACGTTGCTTCAAGGATATCCCTTTCAGAGCTCCTTGGACTCGTGGACACTCCAAAATTAACAGGCTCGTTTCAAGGTGAAAGACATGCCCGATCATCAGGCATGTTCGCACAATAGTATCGAAGTACACCTTTTCAATTGGTCCAGTTATGTTCATCCACTCACTCTGTTCACGTATAAAGATAACAAAATCTAAGCGGTACGAAGCGCGTTTTATCCACTGGGGCTACATGGGGGATGTATAACGAGTAAATGTCAAGCAGAACTTCCAAGTAATCGCACTTGATCAATGTTCCCTTTAAATTGTTTCGGTATCACTACGCGATCGAAGGTAAACGCAATTTAATAAACAATGATCTTTGCACTTCTGTCTATGTTCCGAGCACAACTGCCGATACCTTCTTAGTTCACCCTTGGTTATATACCAGGACACCACGTGGTCATCTAATCCACTGGCCAATGACAGGGTGGCTTTAAATTGCATCGGCCAATCAACATTTTTCTTTAAGGCCACAAGACACGTGTTTCTTGGGAAATAAGGGCACAGGCATTACGAACGAAATCGTATTTGCGTTACCGAAGTTGGACGATCGAATAGCAGACGGTACACTTTGCTTGCCTAGCTTTTCTTCTTTTCCCTCAATACTCGTGTGTTTATGCGACATTTGATGGTACGTCTGGTCACCGATGCCTACATTTTATCTATCTTTTTTTTTTTTCGGTCTTTCTTAGAATCTCCATAGAAAAAGTCGACTTTATTCACAACTTACATTATTCTAAAAACAGAATTTCGCTCGGACCGTGCAGACGTATCGAATTCTTACGCTTGAAGGAACATGTAACAAATAAATTAATAAACGTATTTGTGTCCTTTTCAGGATTTGTGAGTTATGTTTCTGTATATGTTATATAAACGCCATTTCCATTTCGTTACATAACTTCGGTTCACCCTGTGACCTGGCTATCGCCGTCTGTTGGCAGTCTCGTTGTCTGTAGTGGTGTTTAATGATATTGTGAAGAGGTGAATCCTTAAAACGTATCCCACATACATACCAACGCGAAGCGAGTACCCCGTTAGTTAAATAGCTGGATCCGGCATTAGGACGACCTAATTTTTATGCCTAGCTTTAGCCCATTATTCTCGCTCTAAATTTAGAATTTTTCCACTAACAAAATATCCCTAAATTCACGCTCTCTCTATTCTAGTCCTGCATTTCAAAAAAGTTTTCGCGAATACCTTCCCAAAGATATCCTCCCACTCTCGCAACCAGAGAAACCATTTTTTTTGAAGTCTCTTTTCATTCGGCGAGATTTTTGTAAATTTCATGGTTAATAAATTTCAATTGACGTAATCGCTTTGGCTATAGGGCAAAACTAACAGGGATATCATCAGTGTAGACCGCCGGCGACTTTTACGGCTTCCCACGAAGGAGGTCATGTGATAAAGGACGCGAGATATACGTAGTCGTCAGGTGAGAATCGAGCTAGAATCGTTGTTAATCTTGGTTGCACATGCTTTGTAAACGTTTGAACGTTATGCGACGTGGGAACAACATTGAACGGCAGCTTGGTGCATGGAACATCAATGCTAGTGGGAAGCGGCGCAAGAAGCTCAAGTCATCCGTTGATAGAATGAAGTCAATTTCCTCTGTAAAATGTGTAATCTTAGTACTCTTTGTGTGTGTGCTGGGTTGTCGAACGATCATCACTAAACAATTAACAACTAGTTGGACACATTCTCTACTCGATTATAATTTGAAACTTGTCGGGCAAGAATAAGTCGCCGTGGCGTATAGTTTTGTCAGTGACAGTTTGGGTTCTGGGTTTGGGAATAAGGGTGGAATGCGAGAAGCGGATGAAGATAAGGAGCCATCTAGCTAACTTTACGCCCTTACTGTGTGTTCCCTCTGAGCGAGGAGACAACAGCCAGGAGAAAGAAAAAGGGAACGGCGGTGGCAGGGGGTAACACTAGCCGAGTAAGCTCTGGACACTTCTTAGGATTCAGAGCTTAGCACCCCTGGATCCTCAGGCTTCACGTCTGCCTGGCCTAACCCGGGACTCCTCTACTGACTCCACTGGTACCCGCTCATGCTGTCCCCCTTTTTTCCCGTCTGTCTATCCACCGATCAGCAACGACTTTCTTTCTCGTGCTCTAATTACCCTTCGTTCGTCTAGATTGTCTTTCTTTTTAGTATTTGATCATGCTATGACAGTGAATATATGCGTGAAGGAGATTTACTCGTCTATGCCGTGTAGAAGATGTACAGTGAAAAGCGCAATTGAACCAACATACGATGAACAATCGTTCACAACGATCCACATTTGGTCTCGTTTTGAAGTGTTTGAAGTCTTTGCTTTGACATTGTGAGTTCATTTCTCTCGGAGGTGATTTTACATCATGTACCGGGGCGGGAAAGTGAGGAAACTTCTTTCTTGAAAATTGTCAAAATTCAAACGTCTGTAAAAACATTAGGAAAACTTCTTCGTGACTAGATCCATCTCGTCCAAGACTAGACCGTTTTGAAGATTAAAGTCTTCCCTTTGCAACGACCCTTTGAAACTTGTTGTACGATTCTTTCCACCGTTTTATTGAACGTTGAAGATCAGAGCGAGAAACGACAAAAATTCAAGAAGTCCTATCATTTCGTTCAAAGTTTAATAAAGCAGTGAAAAAAAATCATACAGCAAGTTTTCCAGTGGTCCATTGCAAAGAGGAGAGTTCGGTCTTCAAGACCATGGTGGATCCAGTCATTGAAATAATTTTTTATGTTTTTACAGACGCTCGAATCTTTAGAATTTTGTAAAAACAAATCCTCATTTTACCGCCCGTGAACATGATGTAAAATCATTTTTGGAAGAAAAAGAATTCTACTGCTGTCAAAGTAGAGGTTTTACACTATGAAAAATGAGACCAAGCGGATCGTTGCATGCCTTTCTTCCACGAAGATTAAATTAATTTAAATTATCAACAATTTTTCGCAATTCCTTGGTTCGATTACGCTCTTGATACAAAACTCTATAAGAAAATCAAGCTTTCTTTTGAGCTCTTAGAGATTGTCATGAATGAAGTTCCATCCCATGCGAATTTTGTTTGTTTCAATATTATCATCCTGCGATGGATTATCGCGATTTTGTTGTTTCTAACGACTATAAACAATAATTTTTCTAATCTTCATCCAATATTATACCGAGTAACGGTATAAAAACATTGAATTTTACTTATTTAACTGTCTCAATCTTGAAATTAGATAGAAACGACACGCCGCGCTGCACTTTCACCCACGATCACAAATTATTTGAACAAAAAGATTTGAACTATGCTAATGGAAGATACACGTGCCCTTATGCAATCATGCATTTCTCGTTGCAAAACTCACGGAATTCTTGCATTTTCTTTGATGTTCCTCCGGCTTGTTTCTCTTGTTAGAGCTCCTTGGTGTTTCCCACGACGACTCTGATGAATTGGTTGATCATATAGGTACCCACCTTAAGTTTATGTCATATTTCATATCGCAATTTTACAATGAAATAAGACAGAAACATAAGACGGCTTTCCTATGTTATTCCGTTTCTTTGTCTGTTGCTGTTCCCTCCGTTCTTCAGATGATGATGACATCAGGTGAGAACAATGAACAGGATGGAAAGTATAATTTTGCAAATGTCTCAACTTCATCTATACTCCTCATCTTTACTCTATAGTGAAATAATGGATACTGGCGCCATTGTAGAAAGAATTTGTTATGTGATACAGTGCGTGGACAACCATGTGCCGCAGTGTCAGATTGCTATTACGTATCAGAAGGGTGGACATCAGTTAGGATTTCAAACCAAGTCCTTTTACGATGACGTCTCGCTTACTTCTCTTTCTTAGTTTCATTATTTTTTTGATAGATTGAACTATTGTACGTGGAAAAGCTGTCAGTAACGTTTTAGACGTAGAAGCTAGATTGAACTTTCTATAATATACACATGTTATAGGAACAATTGGGGTGAATTTATATAATTTGTCGTGTGTAAAGTTGTTTTTTTTCCTTAGCAGAAAACGGTTTGTTTTGTATAATTTCCTCTTTTTAACAAACAAGAACAAATGGATTGCGCGTGCGAGACAAAGTAAGATGCTTCAAATGTTTTTTAGTAAGTTAGTTAGACTAATTGCAATGATTGAATTATATTTGGAGAAAAGAAGGGAACGAGCGTACAGGTAGCTAGACAGTTGCATACGAATATACGCACGTGAAGTTGCATAAGAAGCCCTAAATCTGCTTGAGGTAAACGGGATTAATCTCATCCGCCCCACGCGAAGCCTTGTCAATCTCATTGGCGTAGAAAAATAGAGTTCTTCTGTGAATTACAATTTTTTTGGCTCTAACGAGATTCTGCTGTTCGTTTTTACGACTTCCAGCTTTTCAAAATATCGCTATGCTGGTCTACGTGCAATTATTCTATTCTGATTTTGCTGATTTTTCGTTTCATTTATTGAAAAGAAACAGGATCTAGTTTACATAGACACGATACACAAATAATAATATCTCCATTTTGATTTTGAGATAATGAAAGTGTAATGTAATCTGAATAATACAAAATACAAAATGTGACAAAGAGTGGACACAGTACTGTGGTTGTCTTGAATCATAACAAATTAAATATTATAGCAAATATTAATATCTTTCGTTTGCCAACCAAATGGACAAAGTAATTAGATTATATTGTGCGTACAATACATCATTTGTTGCTTCAAATGCCATTCAGAGCTAACGGTCATGCTAATTACATTATCTCGTTATATAGATTTTTCGAACGTGTGTAATTAATTACAGAAATAGTTTGTCGTGTTGTTTTCAAAAGATTGTACGGAATATAGTAAAATTTAAGGAACGATTCATGTTAGAATATAATGCAAGTGGTAGGCGCCAGTATTTAATCAGACACGATATTTTATTCTATTATCCAAAGGTTTATTATCGTTGTGCTGTGATCTTTGTCTTACACTTTACCTCGATAACTAAATTTAAATTTATTAAACAACGAAGTCGGCATAAACAAATGATTTTTTTTTTTATATTCAACAATTCTTTCTCTCATCGTTCAGATAATTGGATAAAAGTTTGACACAATGATCCTTTGATAGAGTCGAAGGAAATGTGCGCAACGATAGAGCAAGAGGAGTTGAAGTACGTGTGAAATTTGATTTTTTAAAATGTTGTTTATACCGGTAGATAGCCTCGATCCTCAACGGTAGCGCCTGCCCGACGGCGGCTGGCTGCTGTTGCAACGTTCCACTTCACATGATTTTCACACAATTTCCGATTACATCGGTCTCATCGCAACACTCGTTCGTTAAAAGTTTACTTTTTCCCCGAAATAATAAACAAACGTTTATGGAACACCGATTGTGTACGATGCGTTTGCCAAAATAATGCCCGTCGGTTTCTCAAAGTTTTAACCTGCCATCTGGTATGCTCGGGAAATACTAATCGTGTTGTTTGATGTTTGAAAATTTTTCACAGCCGTTTTATTTTCGAATTTGCGAAATATTTTGGAACAGTTCACGCTGGCAGGGAACATCTCCTGTGCCAAAGGCACATACAGAAGCACACATTGAACTTAAATATTGGTGACAACGTAACGTATGAGTGTTCTTAAATTTTCTAGAAAATTAATGTTTCTAATGGCGCAGCAACTAACTGCAGGCTTAAAAGACTCGGTGTATCGCAAAGTTCAAAACGGTGGTCCAGTTAAAATGTATATTGGAAATTAATGTAGGAAAAAGTCATGCTAATTTCATGGTATTTTTCTTAAATATTAAAAAAAAATAAAATTTTTATTGAGAGTAGGACTGCAATCAAGGCACGTTTATTTTGTCTTTCTTTGGTCATCTGTGTATTTAAAATGGTATTCAAAGTCTCTGCGCTAGTAGGGCAATGGTTCGCAAGTAGAAGTGTCCTGTGCTCGGTCAGACATCTCTCTCTCTGCACCGACTGCCCTTTTTCTTTCGAGTAACGCAAGTTTCCTCAGCCCGGACACAAAACCACCCTAGATTGTTCTTAACCGGCTCTCACCGCGTTTACCAGTGGTCATCAAACCACCTGTTCCCTTTACCAACCCTTGCACCACTGTTACCAATGTGCCATGCTTTTATCGACCTACCTTGGTATTGCAGTTTCGTAGTCTCGCCACTTTATCCTCTGTTTCCTTCAATCTTTTTTACACAGTACGTATTCTTTCCCACCGCGCGTTGATTTTGAAATTACCACGCTCATACGTTTCCTTAAGGGTTGATGTTCAAGGTTGAACGAGCAGTTCCCCTTCTCTCTTTTTTTTTTTTTTTTTTTTTACGTAGAATTTGACATTCAATCGGTAACAGTCAACGACCATGCAGTTGTAATAAACTGTATTTATAATCTGCAATAATGTCGCTTCCACGACGCGGATTATTTAATGACGTCAAGGAAAAGTCAACTATATCAGGGCAGTGAACTCGTTACAATGGGAAAGGGGCTAGAGGCGAAAAACTGGGGCAAAAACTAGGCGTAAGAAACTATTGATGAAGTGCAATTTTCGTGCCTTTGGTGGTGAAAATTGACTGCCATGCGAAATCGAACATGGAAGGAAATTAGAGCTAATATTAATAGCGGTGTACCACGCTCAGACGTGAAATTTCCAAGTTGTGTATAAATAATTCGAGCGTGCGAGCACGCTTTTAAAGGTCACTTAACACAGCAATAGATCCGTCCAGCCTTTCAAAGACGAAGCGGTGGTAAACTTTCGACGTCAGGTTTCGTCGTGCACGAGCTTATTATTACTTTTGACGGGCAAATCGGATTTATTGCCAGTTGTTGTTCGCGGCGACGAATTGTCCTTGCTTCTTCTCCGTATTCGGAAATTAACACGTCGATGACGAGACACGATAGGAAGCGAGAGAGCACGATTATTTCCTAGTTGGCGTTTTACGGAGCTTCTTTACGGCGCGCTTGTTGGGGTCGTTCATCGGGGGTGGTTCTATAAATAGCGCGCCACCTAATATATAGGTATTCGGGTCAACAGAAGGTAAGCCAAGGGCGGCTTGTTCAAGATTTTCAACGACGCGTGATTTTTCTATACCTCGCTTTACTCACTGACATTTTATCACTCGCAGCTCTCCTTTCGATTTTACTCTTTTTACGGAAATTTCCCTCGCGTCTACATTCTCAGCGTCGACGGACAAATTTGAGACCTTCAGGAGAGAGACGAAATTTATGGCGAAAATGTGTTGAATTATTTCGCGCTCTTCGATTTCTTCGTGAAAACGATATAGGAGTACGACAATTTTGGCGGCTTACCTTTGAAAACGAAACGAGCATTGTAAAAATTACGATGTGACTGTTGGATGGATGTATGACGTTTTGCGGAAATATTTGACTCGTGGTGCGCCGTTCTTCGTGGAAATTGCGACACGAAGAATTTCGAATTTCTTAGTTACCGAAGCCAGGGTTAAGGAGCACCGCGTATCTTTTCAGCGGACGAACTTAAGAAGACACCTAGAAGACATCTCGTGGGTTGACCCAGTTTCTCCCATGAACGTGTATTCCATTGACCCAGGATCGTTGCCAGGCAACAGCACACCATGGACTTTGGACACTTTGGCAGAAGTGCAACAATTTTAACCCTCAAGGAGGATCTTTCGTTTCGATAGGTTGAGGAACTCCGCGAGGGTGGAGAGAACGAGAATAGAAGAGCGTATGAAGCGTCTACTCTGATTCACTTCTCAGTTGGTACTGCCAACGATACGTGTACACGCTGCTAGTTTAAAAGTAGTTTTGCCGCCAGGACGAATCAACACTCGATCACCATTTTCCGCGAGGAATTAATCAATGAGCCCGATCACGTTTTCTATCGCCGGATGTAGCTCGGCACGTCCTTGAAAGAAGACCGAAAGTGGTTATCGAAATCGGAGGATATGCACTCTCGGTACCTTTGCTCGGTAGGATATGCACTCTCACTCACTCACAATCAATCTGATCTCATCCCTTTTCACTCATCCCTCTTTCTCTCTCTATTTCAGATGCGTGTCGTTGTCGTACTACTTGGTGGGGAGAGATTGTGAATGACGCAAGTCATAGGAAATCTGGGTCACCGGGTCATGCTACTCCATCCCCTGTGAGCTCCTCTTCAATGGGGCTTTATTTATGAAACTCGATGTCGCACAATCAAGGATGTACCTGGCGAACAGGTTTCGCCGTGCGATCGACGTGAATCGGCAAAATCGGGGCGAGTCGCCGGGATCTTTGAGATCTTCCGTCACATGCGATACATTTTCACCCGCGAATCCGCGTGATCACGGAACGAGACACTTGACATTTCCAATTTCGAGAGATCGGCGTGTGCACCGTGTTCGACGATAACAACGAAAATTGCGAGGGTAACGAGCGTTTACAGCCGGATCTATCGATCGGTATATTGCGGTGTATATCGATATTCATTTTTCAAAAGAGGAGAGCAAACACTGACGGAGACAAATTTGTGGAAGACGGGATTGAATCGCTGAACGCTATGTCGGTATATCTAGAAATTTTAAAACGAACGAAAGGAAAAAAAAACAATTCGATTTAAGTATCTTGATTTAAGAAAGTTTCGTGACTGAGAAAATTTCCATTTGTCAAATTTTTCACGGACTTTGCAAAGGGACAAGCGAGTAGAACAGAGAAGTAGATGGAGGACAGGGAAGAAGGAGAAGTAAACGCGGGAAGAGAAGGAAGGTACGTCAGGTGGATGAAGAAGGTGAAACGTACGGCGACCTCTCGGTCCGCACAGCCTTGGAAAACTGGGGCTTTGAACTGTCATGCACCATTTCTCGATGCCTATTGCAGCCAGCATGGGAAGAGTCAGGGGTAGGGGGTACAAGCGCATGTAGTCAGCCTCTATGACGTCAGTGAGGTAACGGCCAATCCTGTGTCCGCATTCTACTGACGTCACCACCTCCCCCGAGGTGACGTGCATTCCAAGGAAAAGAGGGGAACAGAGGGTCGTGGTACAGGATTGTCGAGGGACAAAGGGGGTTGCAGGAAGGTGCAGGATGACGAGGATAAGTAGTGCACCATATTTCGATCCAATTAATGACGTTGATTAGAAAAAAATAAAAGAGACAGAAATTTTTCAACAGCCCTTTCTTTGTTTCACGATTGATCACCGTTCTCAAATATAATCGATTGACATTAACATTAACGTTATCGCTTCGACAGTTTCTAACAGTACTCAAAATACGAAAGTTAAAAATTTTTTCGTTCAAAAGCCATTCCGAGTATTTTGTTTGGAATTCTTCAGAAATTGTTGATAGTTTTTTTTTTTTTATTGTAATATTCGATTCAGTTGAAAATCTTGAAATCTCGAGTTGTAATTCTTGACAGTTGGTATTCAGATTTTAAAATTTTGATTCACGATTGGCGAAGTTGGCGGCCAGTTGGTTCCGTGAATCGAATGCACCGGGTGAAAACTGGGACAATAACGCTACCTGCCTAGAGCTGCGTCATACTTGCAGGTCCGTTGAATTTTTTATGAATAATTTTAAAAATTAATCGAGCGTCGAAGAAAACATTCAATGAACTATATTTGACGCTGTCGGTTCTATTGAAAAATTACAAAGGACATGTTTACGGATGAAAATGACCTTTAAATTCTCGCGGAAAGGAGAAAGTGTTTGCGTGAAAAGGCGTTAGGAAAAAAAAAAAAAAACAAATGGCTCGAACGTTAAAAGTGTCATGGACAAGTACAAGCATAGAAATTTGTTGCGTAATTTCAAGCCTGATAATTTTCAGTTTTCGTGCCTCGTGGGTTGTAATCGCTTCGAGTCCCGTGGAAAATTTGAAAAGAAGTCACGTTATCCCGTTCTCGAGTGAAAGCGAAAGCTGTGCGTGATTTTCTATCCATGGTCTTCTCTATCGAGAATTTTGCGTGGGTGTGTGTTTGGGTTTTACTCGGACCACGTGCTCACTATAGTCACGTCGATGCGATGTGCGAATTTCTTAGATGCAATAGTTACTACAACAGCAGTAAGTCTGAAAGTGATCATGATTCTAAAACTAACGCGATGTCGTGTATCTAATGTTTCTCAAGAGTAATACGTTCTAAAGAAATTCAATGTGCAATCTTAATGTTAAAAAACAAGTACCATCTATAGCCATTTACTTGTCCCGAAAGCCAAGAATGCGAAACCCCACTACTGATTACTTACGACATTCTGCAACGAACGAAACACCATATACAGGCGACACTTTCTGATATCCTCTTTAACAACAACATATTCTCCCGACGTACACTTTAGCTTGTCAAACTTATCGTTACGTATCAAGCCTCTTCGAGAGGCTCTTCTCCTGCGGGATTCCCAATGAGAATTTATCTTCTCTCCGAGTTTGGGAAGCACTGTTCTTCCCAATTCTTTTTTCTTTTCCCATTTTCTTTCTTTTTCAATAAAAACTCGCATATTTTTACGGTGCTTCGATACGATCGATTTTTAGAGACGCGCGAGAGTCTGGTTCTACGAATAACCGAACGAAGCTCGACCATTCTCTGTGACGAAATCTGTCTGTCTGACGAGGTAACGAGAGGCAAAGTATATCGCAGGGAGAGCGGGTCCAGCCTCGAATTCGCGCGTCTCAGTGATCGAGGCCCAACTGCAGTCGGGCTAAAGCCCGATGGAACTCGACAACTTTCCACTCGGAGGCCGAGGCTGCCAGGTTTGAATGGAGCTGTCCCGCGATTGGTTAGTCAGATAGTGACGTCACTGCATTGATTGTCCCGCGCACGCCGCACCACGTGGCCCATCGAAGATTTCTCTCTCCTTCTTTCTCTCCCTCCCTCCCTCCCTCCCTCCCCCCTCTCTCTCCCTCTTTTTCTCTCTCACCTTTTTTCCCCCCAGCCTCTTTCTTTTTTTTTTCCATCCCTCTCCGTCTTCTTTTCTGCTCGGCAGAAATCTGCTTAGAAGGGGGTTGCTTTGCCAAGGGGATGGACGAGATTCGAGCGAGAATCTGTCTTACGTCTACGGCCCCTGAGCTCACCAACCACTTAAGGTTCGCCTCGAGTCTTCCTATTTTCCTTAGGGTTACTCGCTCCGAGCACGCGTCTATCTTTGAGACACGCTCTAGAGGTCCGCCAGCCAGAAAACTTTTGTCCCTTTTCTTTCACTTTCGAACGGATCGGGATCACTCGGTTGCTGGTGTCTTGCGTTAAACGTCACGCAAAAAAAAAAAAAAAAAGAAAAAAAGCAACGGATTCTCTTAAATTCCTCTTTTTCTTCTTTTCTTCTCTTTTCACTGCGGTAGCTCTGAGAAATTAAACGAGGTTGTTCGCGGCGGAATCGCTTTTAGGACGGTCGAAACGAGCGACGTATTTTCGTTCGATATCGATTGAATTGGCAGAAAATAGAGCGATGTCTATCGCGGGCATGTCCATTTTCGTGCAAAGTCGAAGGTCAGTGACGTCGCCGACCTTCCTAAATATTTTCCAATCGATAATCGCCTACCTTGTAAACCATTCGCCCCCCCCTCCCCCCCCCCGTTTCGGATTCGTCGTCGGGATAAATATTAAGGTCGTATCGATCCTGCCAGTTTGATCGCGTAGATCCCTCTACGCACGCTACGGAAACCCTACATGCTTGTCCCCCGAATGCCTAATTCGACAGTTCCAAAAATATCTCGTCGGGGAAGCAGCCGCGACGGCGGCAACGACGATAGAACTACTACCACCATCGTGGATCCTCTTCTCCAGCAACCTCATTCACCTACTTTTCTCCCCTGCTGCAATGTACGCTCGCTCCTCGTGCGCGCCGCGAGATTCTCGCGTCGCCTGTCTTCCTACGAACGTGTTATCCTACGCTTCGTCTTTCTCGAACTTGAATTTCGTAAAGATTTGAACTCAATCGTTGGATTGACTCTCACAAAAAAAAAAAAAAAAAAAAATATAAAAATTGGACACACGTGCAACGTGCGTCATTGAGAGGTGCCCAACAATTTTGGATGTCCTGCGTCTGAGCAGGCTCTGTCTTTTCCCCTCTCTCTCTCTCTCTCTCGCTCTCTCTCAAGAGAGAGAGCTGGACGCGCGCGAGAGACAAAGACGAACAGATGGCCAGCCAGGCAACTGGGGGTTTCAGGTCGATGCACCCCTTCGCTCGCTTGCCAACGAGGGTTCGACGCCCTGCGTCGTCCCCTGACGTCATTCGCGCGCCCTGGCCCACCCCCCACTCCCCGCGCCTTTTGCTTCGCCGGCACCGATGAAATGTCGAGTGCTCGGCAGACTAAGTTCTCGTCCTTTGAAAACTCGACTCCTGCGGCTCCAGTTGCTTTCGCGATTGTTTTTCAGGTCAGATTCCAGACTCGCGGAATCTTGACCATCGATGCGATTTTTAATTGCGCCCCGTCCCCCCTCCCCCCTCTGTTTCTCGCGCCACGCTTTCGTTAGTCACCGTCTCTCTTTCCCAGCGAAGAAGAGAACTTGTTCCTTTTGGTGCTTTTCCTTCACTCTTTGCCGATCGTCAACGATCCTAGAATCTTTCAGGTTTTCACGTGGTGTTTCCGTTGTTCAACCAGCCAAGTGATTCGTGGAATTGCAAAATCGTCTTGATAGCAAGAGCGATTTGCAGAGCCTCGAAGGCCAAAACGATTGCTCTCGATTGTCGATTCTTGGCTCGCTCGTTGGAGTCAACTGTTCTGCTATCATGCCAGTCGTATCGTGATGATCTGTCACTACCGTGAAATACCGCTCGATTCGTAGAAATCTGCAAATTCAACGGCCTTTTCGCTGCAACCCCCCGCTGCAACATTCGATTTAACCGGTTATTCCGAGTAACCAACCTATTTCTGAAAATTCAGGGGAAAACGGCAGCAACCGAATCGCACGATTTATCCGCGTATCGAGTAACACGATCCGGTCGAAGTATGTATGCGGTAGTTTCTTGCGGAGCATCCTCCGAGTTAACCGTCGGGGGGGACGGTGGGGGGGGGGGTGGCGAGAGGGGGAACGCCGCGATTGGCGTACGTGTTATCGTCCGAATTTTCAATCGATGTCGCGAATTAATATTCTCGGTGGTGCAGTCGATAACCTGTCCCTGACGTAACGCCCACGCGGTGCAGTGGTGGTGGGAATCGACGAGGGGGTGAGAAGGGTGGACGGGAGGGTTGTCCGAAGGGTGGCAGCAGCGAGGGCGCCAGGGGGCGGTCAACAAAACTGGGTCACTGGAGCTTCATTCACATTACGCGGCCATTCATGAGATTTGCCAACCGTTCGGCTTTCATGCTCTCGGCGTGCATTTCTTGTGTCTTTTTCGGGAAAATCTTTTCCCTCAACCTCCTTCCACCCCCTCCGTTGTTCCTGGCGTCCCGGGATCGTTTCACGCTCGTCATCCTCGTCAACTGCCAAACCAGTAGTCATCTGTTATTTTCCAGACTGAACGGATAGCGATTGACCGCCGGGACACGTGAGCAAACTTTCTCGCTCCTTCCTCCTCGTCTTTCGTATCAAGTATCGAACGAGTTGCTAAGTTTCCTTCGAGAAACGAAAAGATCGAGAAGAAGTTCTGGAAACGTCCGACTGTAAAAGTTTGTTTAGAAACTTTGTGCGACTGTATTTCTTCCGATAAGCCGTAAACGTTCGAGAGAGAGAGAGAGAGAGAGAGAGAATTAAAAAATTTAGAACGGCAGAATAATTCTAATGGAAGGGGAAATTTATCGAGAGACGCGCCTGAACTTTGGAATTCTCTCGAGGCGAGTTGGAGTTAACTCGGTCTTATCGTTCGAATCGACTGGATCGGGGCTCGTCAGGATCGAGATCTTGTCGTTATATCGGGCAAGAAAGTTGACCCTCCCCCCTCCAACGAGGGGGAGGGGAATAGGTGCGAATAGGTCTCGAGCTCGATCAGGGAATTTCTCAATAAACTTTCGAAAGCGTCTTCAAGCGGTCCGGCTGGGTCCGTCCGACCTACTTTCGCCCGGGCAATGACGTTGGATGTGACGTCACAGGAGCGGAAACTGGGTCGCGAGGTCGAAGGCACCTCGCCGGTTTCCCATGGATACTTGCCCCCTTTGCCCGGTGGCTGGATTCATTGAAAAAAACGAGCGAGATGTGATATCGTTATCCTCGATCGCGCTGGGTGGGACACTTTGCTTTAACGTCTCTCTCGCCGTTGTTATTTATCTCGTCGATTCATATCCCCCCCCCATCCCCCCTCTCTTTTTCGATCTCTGCTCCTTGCCCTCGTGCCACGTGTCGAGAACGTTTCGAGTGAATTTTTCACGACGATCGGCTGAAAACGAACGACTTCTGAGAAATTAACGCGTGCGCTTCAGCGGGCGGGAAATAAGGGCGCAGGCTACGAAGCTACCGTGAAAGGTAGTAGCAGATGCTATCTATTATTCCACGAATATTTCATGGAAATTGTACGGAAGAATGGTGCTACGGATACACCTCCGACGGTGAAGACGGAGGAGTTTCCGCATTCTCGAGGATTATAGTAAAGAATAGAATTTACTATTTCGGCGGGGGAGGAGGGGGAAAGAAGCTCGATGGATCGCGACGAAGACGTACGAGGACGAAGGAGATTGTGTATAATCTTTTGATAAAAAGGGAACGTAGCAATGAAGATAATGCAATTCGTTTCGCCGTCGAGCGTCGTTTCGTCGTTCTTTCTATTTGCTCCGTGCACCGGTTAATGCGTTTTGTCAAGAATACTCGAGCGTCTAGACACGACCTCGTTTGACTCACGGAAACGCGACGCGACCGTCGTGTCTCTCTATCGATGTTTGCTCGTCAAAATTCATCGGTCAACCGCATTGCGGCCGTGTCGCGAATTAAAACGTCCGCTCGAAATTTTTATTCGCCATCTTTCGAATCCGGTGGGGGTTATCGATAATAGAAAGCAGCCGAAAGCAGCAGAACACACGGAATCGCTCTTTTAAAACTCGATTAATCATCCGCGAGGTATGTTCCTTTCACCGTAGCGAGTAATAAAAAGTGGTCGTTGTAATGAAACATTTGTTCTTCTTCTGTTCACGTGTACTAAACGCGCGATTAATGCGGTATAGGATCTCGACAGTGGTTGCATTTCAACGTGAAACAAGTAAATCAAATTTCCATCGTTAAAAGTGCTGACATTTCGCACAGCTAAGATCGCGCGGCTAATTTGAAACGACGAATCATCGACGCGGCAACCTTTGCGTTTTAAAATCCTCTTACCATTTACCGACACGCAGACTATCGTAATTCCGCTGTAAATAGAAAAACAAGGAAGAGAGGCAGAATGGCAGGATATATGCAGGAATAGCGGGAGGAAAAGGGTGAGCTGAATCGGTGAGACTGGACTGAGGGGGGTCGGTGGTTCAGCAGAGGCGACACTGGTTGGAGAAGGAGGAAGAGGCAGTAAAAGCGTCGCGGAGGATGGGAGGGGGGTAGGTCGTCGATGGCTATTTTTAGAATGTGGGTCACCCATAAACTCCGGCTTGTCCCGTGACGTCACGGGATCGTCGTCGTGGCAACAGGGACGCCGGGTTAATCACCCTTGGTTCAGAGTTACCTCTGCCGCCCTCTCGCACCTATCCCACCCCCTCGCCGCCCCACGGACAAGTTTACCTGTGCCGCGTCGATTAGATGTAACGGCGTACGCGTCGATGCGTCGAACAACGTATTTTCTGGACGAAAAACAATTGCTTGTTGCAGGAAGGAACACGTGTATATACACGTTTTGAACGGGTTGTTTCTGACGTTCGTTCGTAAATAATGTTAGATCGCGTTGAAGATGCGAATAAGAAATATTTTACCTTTAGATATTAATTTATGTTCATTTAATGGCGCAGTGAGTCTTTTACAATATGTTTGTGTGTTTAAAAACATTTTCCAAAAAGATTTCATATGCATCTGTGACGATGAATCAATCGCGCCATCTGTAAAATTGGTATTGATACTCGTGGCAGTTGTCAGTTATAGTCAGTTTAATGACATAAATTTTAGAGCATTTTTTAATAGCTAAATATTTGTAAAAATGTGCACAAATGACGTACGACGAAATATATAATGTTGGAGTTGAATGGCGACGAGGCGTGAAAATGCAACGGTTTTTTTATTCTCACGTTTCAATCTACTTATTTTATTTCAATTACTTTACCTTGTAAAGAATCAAAAAAAAGTCTCTGAGTTGCGATACTACGTTTCCACAACATCTCACGTCAAGTCTTTGCTACACACGTCTTTTTTAGCTTGCATCAGTAAAACAAGCACAGAGTTCTGCGTTATCAACGTTCTGTGTCTGACTAAGCGTCGATATGTACTACCTGTCTGTGGAAACGGGACCGTTCTACTTGACCCACTGTTTCCTACTTTAGCCGCCTGGTTCTCCGACGAATACCGCGATGGTAAACGTAGCTTCCAAGCTACATGGTGGAAAACTACTTTTTCAAATATTTTATATAACAACCTTTTATTTAAGCTAATTCAATTTTATTTGAATTTAGAGTGGATTTTTTTTTTTTTTCATTTAAGTTGAATATACAGATGTACGACTAACGTTTCAGAGGAGATTCTGTGCGTGTTAACAAGCTTGGAAATAGACTCTTTGAAAATGATTCAATCACAACTTCACGCGTGTTAAAACTCAAACAACATGTAATATCAACTGAAATTGCAAGTATCGCGCTTAAGCGACGATGTTTCCGCCAGTATCGCCGCATTTAGCGCGAAACAGCTGGCACAATTCTAAAATGCTGAACAATCTGTTAATAATATCTTCGTTCTGGCTTGACGTGTTTCGAGATGCTCGAGCAATCAGCTGCGATTATTAAATTCCCATTACACTTTTTATTCGACCTCCGTTCGATACTCGACTAATCAATCCATCATTATTTATAGAAATTCGTTTCAAGATACGATATCTGTTTCATTCCTCACGAGGCTAACTTCACCTACGATCATTAAATTCCCATTACACTTTTTACTCGACCCCCGATCGATACTCGACTAATTAATTGATCGTTACTTATAGAAATCCAAATTTCAAGATACGCAACTGCATTTTTCGTTCTTCGCGATTTTTCTACCTTCGTGTTCGCACGTATTCGTAAATATATCTCGAGACTTTTCCTACTCTTCATTCCAACGCAAGTTTTCAAGCTTTTCCAGTCGGGCATCTATTGTTCCTAAGTCAGGCAATGGGACTGCGTGTTGTTTCTCGAGTGCGAGGACCGCGCGAATTAAAGGAGAAACGGCTGAACCGATCGATCATCATTAGCGAGGGTGAAGGGAAAACGAGGAAGCCCGGTGGCATGCACGCATAACACGCCGGATTAACATACTTAATCAAGCGTGTTGCCGCGAAGGTAGGCGGTAGATTGAACGAGTAGCCGAGTGAACGACGATGCAGCAGCCCCGGCTCCGTTTTCAGTTTCCGATTATTTTTGGCAGCAAGCAGAGCGGGCATAGCTCTCGCCTAAAAATGCTTGCGACCAATGGCGAGTCGTCATTGGTCGGCCGCTGCCACGTGAACAGCCTACGACGGAGGTTCACGACGTTTGCTAGGGATCCACGATCGCACAGTCAGCTGCCTAAGGTCCGGTTGGCCAGTCGCAGCCAGCAAAAGTTCTCTTCGCAAAGGTAAGCCTAATCGTCGTCGCTCTTCGACTGCCGGGAGCACCCTGGAACGCGCGTCGTCGTCGCACGATTCTTCTGATCCTCCTTCTTCTTCTTCTTCTTCTTCTTCAGGATTCGTGCCGGAATCGAACCGGCGAAGGAATTCCTCCCTCGTTTTTCTCGATCTGACGGATCGCTTCTCTCGAATATCGAGTGTCAGTGAGAGGTGTGCTTAACAGACTTTTTCTCTCAAGGTCATGAGTGTTGCACCGCGCGTCGACCCGTGTGACGCGAGAGTATCGAGTCCCAGTGAGATCCTGCGTTTGTGACGCGAGGGGGTGAACGTTTCTTTCTTCCCTCTGGACGAAGCTGTGTTTTTGGGAGATCTCGGAGATCTATGATGATGATTGTGACCTCCCGCTTTCCACGTCTTTGAATTTTCTTTCTTTCTTTCTTTCAACAGAGCGGAGAGAGCCTCTCTCCGTATGATATTTCGAAAATAATCAACTCATTTCGAATTTCTTCATCTCGTTGCAATTTCATAGCCGAATATATTCGAACGTGAAGAAATCGCAGTGATCGTTTCGTCAGAAATCGCCTCGGATCTACGTAAACAGCCTTGTACCAGTATTCTTCTTGACCAATCTAACTTTAGGCACGTCCACTCGCCATCGCAATTTATCGTACGCTTCCAAGCTCAAAAAAAAAGAAAAAAAAAAAAAAAAGAAAAGAAAACTTCTGACTCGAGTTTCGAGTATTCGCGATGATTCCAAATTCGACGCGACGTTTTTTTTATCAATTTCATGCGGGGGGGAAATGAACGACGACGACGACGTACACACGTCTTTTCCTCGCCGTGTCCTGGCGGAGTGCGCTCGATTTTTCGAGATGAAAAAGACCGTCGCTGGTTGATAGAGGATAGAGGATCCCGTCGTCGTAGATCATCCGAGGTAGATTCTGCGTGTTTTCTATTTTTACGGTGCTGGGATCCTCTTTGACACCGGAGACGAGACACACATCGGAGTCACGGCGAGACGTGTCTTGGAATGGTCCGAACGAGAGGGAATCTATACTTAGCGAAGGCGATCGTCCATTATAAATATAAAGCACTCGCACTCGCCGATCGGCTGAGATTTCTGTAAATAGGCGATTTTCTCATTTCTTTCTTTCTTTTTTCTTTTCTTTTTTTCTTTTTTTTTTTCGTTTCCCTTTCTCGACGTGGACGCCAAAAATAAACGAATCGATCGCCGAAGAATTTGTTGAAGAATTCTCCGCTACTTCGAACGCTAGTTGCGTGCGCCCGAGTTATACAATTCGTGTAATAAAGTTGATATCTATTTTCAAGCATTATTTCTGACTCATTGCCGTCGCGGCCGCGTCGGCACGTAAGATGTTTGCCAAGAAAATGAATTATCTCGAGCCTTCGTATCCCCATTTATCAACGACCGCGTCTTCTTCAAACGATTTCATCATACACCCGTCGCATTTATTTTTCACGCTCACGTACATTCCCTGCTCTCGACGTTTTATTATATCTTTGATATCGTCTAATTTCTTTCTGCATATTTACGTACTTGTATTTTAGAATTTCGGATGGCATTCAGATGTTTTCACCGTTTCCTTTTTGTTTTCCATTTACACCGCAAGAACCGCTTTACATTCCAATTCAGAGTTTTAGTTTCCAGGAATTTTAGTTTCCCCATGATCGGGGAAGAAGGTGGGAAGAAGAAGTTTCTTGAGAAAGGATTTCTCGGTTCCCTCCAGTTCGTTCGATCCGCCCTCCCGTTTTTCCGCCGTTCGAATCCAGTCCGGAGGTTTCACGGAGGAGACGAGGCGAGATCTACCTTGGGTCGTTGCATCCAAATTTGGATCGTCGACGTAGCGACGTCTCGGCGACGGCACGGAAAAGTGGGGGACGGCCCGGCGTCTATTTTCGAGCACCGGATATTCTATACCGCCGCCGCAGCGATCGTGTGCACCGCGAGGCAAAATCTACGTTTCAGAACGTGGGATTTATCTGCGTCGATCCGCGGCAACCGACTATCAAACCGGCCGGCGGAGGGAAGAACTCCGTCCGAGTGACGCAATTGGAAATCATCGTCGTCTTCATCCGAATTTCTCCTTCCACGCCGATTCCTCCCCGCCTCGAGACACCGCTCGTCTATCGCCGCGCCGTTTATATTTAAAACCCTCCCCCCCCCCCCTCAAGTGTAATGTTTGCATTTCGTTTCGGTAATCCGTGTCACCGAAACGATCGTATTTACGCCGGTGACGTAACGCCGCGACGATATTGTTGTAACATTTTGCCACGAACACGTGAAACGTATTCCACCATCTGCACTTTTATTTTTAGGTAGACAGGTGTGTTAGCAGCCAGGTACCACGATGGCGGACGATGAGGTTAGGTGGGTATCGTCAAGACTTCCTTTCTATTTAGACGCCCGGTTGGAAGCTTGATTTTTCACTTCGGGAAACTCGCGATATTTTTTTTTTTTTCTCTCTTCTTCTACTTCTATCTATCTTGCGAGGAATATTTGAAAATCTCGTCAAGTGTCTTCTCGTCGAAGGGAATCGGATTACTCGTGAATCTCCGTGATCTCGAGAATATTACACTCGCGCGATGTAAAAATAAACTCATGTCGCCCGCAAAGTTTCAAGCTTCGTGAATTCAAGAAACGATCGAGGTTTTTCTACTTTCTACGCATCGCCCGATGATGCCCAAGCCTAGCATTTCTCTCCATTTTTTAATCGAGACATGCTGCAACTAGATTCCTCTAGAAGCCCTTCTGCGCTTTTTGTCGAGCGAGGTCACATTACGCAAGTTGCCACGATAGTTATTCGTACGAAACGTACGTACCGTGGGTGTTAATGTTGAATTTTTTTCTTGATTCTATGTCTCTGCTTCTGCGCCTGTACTCTTGACTTTACACGAAAATGGCGAACGATGATGGATCTCCTGTTTATTTCGGATCGTGCAGTAAAATTAACGACGCTAAAAGGTACGCATTGCTTGTGAGCTTTGTGCTTGTGAGTCCCCTGTAAAAAATAGCAGTCCCTCGTCGAAAACGATCGCTACCTCGGACGAAAACACGATTAATCCAATATTTTTTTTTTTATATATATATACATGTATCCAGAAAGAAACCACGTCTCAGTCTCTGTGTGATGTTTTGTGCGAACAATTCGTCGAAGAAACGAATGATTCTTTTTCTTTTTACCGTAAAGTAGAACTTTTAACATTTCTCTGTACCTCATTCCGTGGATTGAATACCTATTTTTTTTTTTTTTTTTGGAAATATCTTGTTTGCTTAACAATTGTAACCGTCAATTATCGCGAATGATAATTTGATAATTGACGGAAGAGGTTTCCAGTCGACGGCGTTGCCTCGAGTCAGGACTTTGAACCCCGACTTGCGTCCTGTCACGTGTACTTTCCTTTCTCTTTTCAATAGTGAAAAGTCGTTATAACTACGTAAAGAGCTTGACGTTGCGGTTCTCCGTGTCTCGTAGAATAACGAGGAGACCGCGAGAAAGTTTATTCCCTCCCCCCTCTGTAATTTCTCTTTTCGTTAGAAACTATCCGAGAAACGTTCCGTTTTATCCACCGCTTCCTCCATTCCCACTCCCTATCCGCTCCTTCTTTCGAAAAAGCACTAGATTTCCCGTAATATCGCGGTCTATCTCCGCGGAAGACATTCTCCCTCCCCCCCCCCCCCGATCGATTTAACGCGATTTTAGCTTCCCCGGGATGTAACAAATTGAATCGTTCCTCCGGACAGCTTTATCGATATCCCCGCGAAATCGAGAAGAAAAATACACGAAAGTTCCAATTCACGATCGATCCGGTTTTCTTCTTCTTCTTCTTTTTTTTTTTTTTTTTTTTTTTTCCCCTCGAATAAATCGTTTAACGACGGATTTGCTACCAGTGTTATACACGTGTTATACACGTGTGACGGTAATCAAATTTATCTGCACAAGTAATAACTTTGTTCCCGTAGCTCGATCTTAAGTGGGCCAATTTTTACGAGGTGTAATACATCTTTACAAAGAATTGGAAGCTATCGTGCGAACACGTTAACGACGAATTCGACGAACGACTAGAACAATCGAAAGATTAGAACATACGAGGGGGGGCTGATTCTTGCAACAGAGAGAACAAGAGTAAGATGTAATGACATTTTCGAAAAGAAATTTTTCGACAAGGACGAAAAAGTGAAATGAAATGATACCAACGCGAACCACGAAGACACGGGACGAAATCCACGGGACAAAGCCGACAGGAGGGGCAAAGCGAACTAGACGGTTCCACTTGGGGGCTGGATGTAAATAATTAAACAGGTCCGGCGAAAACAAATATATCGTTTCGCGCAGTGTGATAGATGATGTTGCTTATTCAGCGTTCTGGATGAGGAGAAAGGTGTGGTAGACGAAGGAAAAGAGAAAGATCGCGCGGGCCGAAGGGATAGAAGAAGAACGAAGAAGATTCGGGTCTCCGTAAGCTTTTAAGACCGAGTTAGCTGGACCGAGGAGAGGGTTCAAGGGCGTGCTGGACTTCGAGGGAAGGATGGCGAGGCAATTAGGGGACTCAGCAGGGTGCCAAAATCTTTGCCCTCTTCCTCGTCCCTCCTTCTTCGCGTTCAACCTCCTCCTACGCGTGTGCTCTCTTGCCTTTTCTGTCTTTCCTCCCTCTTTCGCATCCCCTCACCATTTCTATCCCCCTTTTCTCTTTCCTGCTGCTTCTCTATTTGCTTCTTTCACATTTCCCTCAACATATGAATCGATCACCGTAAGTTCTTCTTCCTTCTTTCAAACGAATCAGGAAGAACAAGCATCCTCGACCCACCTCTCGATCGCCTAACTAACCGAAAACGCCCTTTCGTGTCTACATCCCGAAATTAATGCAGAAACCGATGTCCTCGAGACGACACAAACGCTAATATCGATTTTCTGGTTTAGACTTTCGGTATTAGATATGATTCAACATAATCCGTACGTCGGAAATCATTAATGTTTTATTATAAACTTTATATCAGCTTTACGATTAATCAGTTTCTTTATGATTAACAGTGCTATTTATCTTTCGCGCAAAGAGATAAATTTTCACTCTGTGTCCAAATATTTGGTCATGTATGCATAAATGGTGCAAATGCAGAATAATTTTGAAATTTCATATCTTCCTAGTATCGAAAATCTGAAAGGATGTAACAATAATCTGTCAAATCTAGAAAAAGGTATTTTTGAAAAATTGATTTATCGACGGCTCTGACGTTTAAATTCTTTGATTTAATTAGAATGTGTTGAATTACACGCGCGTGCGACATTGCCACCCCTAACTGCAATTTCAAGAAACTATAAAACAAATCGGTAAAACAGAATTCTAATGATACAGAATTTTATCGCTAACAAAATAGAAATTTACCATTCCGGCAAAATTACCGACATTGTTCTTGTTTAGACATTACCGACATGTCCCAATAAGAGCTTATGGGCTCTGAAATACCGACATACTAAAAAAAATCAGTGGTTTTTTTAGCGCACTTGATGCTTAAACGGTGAATTAGGAAACTACATCAAGTAAAAAAATCCATTACTTGTCAAATTTTTAATATAATAATACCGAAATGTGAAGCTAGTAACTAACCGAAATCATTCTACTATATGTCACAGGAATATAGAAGAATTTTATCCACGTTTTACGGCATTAGGATGGTTTTCTTTCATACAATAAATTAAAATTCTAATGCTATTAATAAAGTATTATAGAACCTATCAGCTCAAATAAATTTTATCAAAAGTTCGATATAATATGAGAAAAATTAAAGAGAAGAAGAAAGAACAACCCTTTACTTCACAGATATAATCATTATAGAAGAAATAATTAATCCTATACTTTCTAAAATATTTTTGTACGAAAAATATACAGAAAAGAGAAAGATGAAATATATTCCACGTGCTTACAAATTAGTTATCTTTATGTCAAAACTACACATTATTTATTTTTCATTAATCTAATAGTATACACCTACACAAACATCGAAATCGCAGTCGATCAGCTCGTATTAATTGCCATATAATTAATTGCATCAGGTATATAATTAATGTTTAGCTATACAATAATGCAATTAATAATTATTTTCTAAAAAAAAGTTTCAAATTTTTATTGAAATTTTTAAATATTTAATTGTTGCAATATTTTTCTCACTTTACTTCATATATACATATGTGACATACGAAATCAGTTATACTTTCATAAATGTGACTTTATTAAATTTATAATAAAATTTAACAAAGTTAAAATATATATTTTTTAGCAATAATAACCACACAGTAGTAAGAGATGCTGAAAAAGAAACCCTAACAGAGTAACCAGAAGGGCTACTAACGAAGAAAATCTAAAGTAGTAGCCAGAAGGGCCACTGAAAAAAAATCGCGATACAGTAGTCAGAAGAGCTACTTAAGTTTGCTACTTAATACAATAACCAGAAGGGCTATTGTCAATTCTTAAATCCGAGCAACAACCCGCATCTTGTTTCGCAACACTAATTCATTAACATTAATTGTGAAACAGGAAATTTTGAAAATCAAACACGAAGAGTGCTTTGTCATACTTAAAACTCCCGAAAGTAAGTACGTAATGCTATTAATCTATGCACTCGTGTTAGAAATACGCAACACTAACTGCGACGCGTCCAGTGCAACCATGCTGAAAGTTGCTGATGAATGACCACCTCTGCACAGCTCTTGTAGCTGTATCAGGTGATCCAAGAGCAGGAATAGCCTTCCACGAATCAAGTGGAAGAATTTGGGCACTTCGTAAACGCAACGCTACTTCAGAAAAGAAACACGATCATTCGTTATCGCAACACTAACAATTAGAGGAAAACTAACTGGAAATCGCGATAGGACAATAATCGTAACACTATAAGAATAAAAGTAATTGGAAACCGCGATGAAATAATGTCGCAACACTAACTCTAAAATCAAACTGAATAAAAATTATTACTAACAATATAGAAGCTATTGTATGAATAAAAGCTGTTTCAAATATTTTAACATTATAAAAGTAATTCAAAGCAATGACTCTATAATTTAAATTAAAACAATAAACAGCAAGATAGATTTTACTATATAGCACTAGTTGTAAGACGACTACAAAAATTTAAATCAAAATTGCAAAAAACAATCGCGGTATTATAATTCGCAACTCCAAAACAAACACGATTATCATTTCATCGCAACTCTAATTTAAACCGCGATCAATCTTTCGCAACACTAACAAGAAAAACCGCGATTTGCCCAAAACGATGAACGATGATGGAGAAGAAAAAAAAATTTAACTACAAATACTAAAAGAGCATAGTGACAAAGTAGTAACGAGAATGACCTCCCATGCTCAGGAATCATTTAAATGATCCAGAGGATGAGAAGCCATTTGTTGTGACCCTCTTCGTGGCAGTTTGCCGGGCCTCTTCGAGCGCGATGCCCGCTGAAACTTACATCTAGCTCGAGTCTTTCTAATCGCAAACTAAACATAACTTACAAAAGTAAAAAGAAACAATAAACCGCGGAAGCTGGCCTCAATACACATGGACGACCATCGATCATAGTGATCATTGTCCGTTCGCATGTGCGTGCTCGAGCAATACCTACACAAACGTTCGTTTCGGGACCTACTCGCGACCTACCCGCGACCGCGACCGCGATACTAAATTCGAAAAATCGAAGAGTAAAACCAGAAACAAGTGGCATGATCCGTTTGTACCGACTTCACTGTCGATTTTTCAAATTCGATTTCCTGAAACAGGTTGGACACGCGAAAAGGGAATACGCGACAAGAGACTGTGCCAACCTGCCCGGCCCTACCTACTTATAATTACGCAGGCACACTAGAAAGTAAACTACCTATCCTATTCAGGGGCCCTATATTTAAAAGATGACAAAAGAACAGGCACACCAACACACTCTCTCCACGGTTCTCACACATACCACTCGGGCGCAAAGACCTAAACTAGAGAGGACGTCCCGGGACGCCTCTGACACCCGAGTTTAACACACAACATTCATACTCTGATTTACATACCATTTTCCTGAAATCGACTGACGAACGCTAGCGACCATTGCGTAAAATGTGATAAAAGTAATTATATACTTTAATAAAATACTATTTATTAACATATCATCCGTAATAGTAATGATACTTCTATTCATATTTTACTGCATATAATATCGTATATGCATGAAGTATGTAATTGTGAAATTTATTAATATTTCAAAACTATATTGCTTGGAACAAATAGCAGAAACGACGCAATTCCACATCCTAACCACACACACACATGTGGAAAATACGTCGTGCA